TTATTACAACTAAAAGTCACCAATTAAATGTGTGGTTAACAACACACTTACTCAGCATAAATAATACTCTTCCTCGAAAAAAACAAATTATTTCATGAGAAATTTTGATTCTCTAAGCAAATGTATGGGGAAAACACTGCCCCGGCACCTTCTGCGTAAATCATTGTGTTCTGTCTCTGTCTCCCAGATGCTTGCAACCGAGATAAAAGCTCAAATCGAGTAGCCCTGGCCCAACTCTCTCCTTTTTGGATGATCAAGTTTATATCTTTATTTCTCCTCATTGGCTTGATTAAATTGGCAATCTAATCCATAATCCTTTTCAGCCCCCAATAGATCTATGAGGAGCTAAATGCTAACTCTCTAGCTAGGGACAATTTTTTTAAAAAAAATTATGGTCATGTTTACAACTGATGAAGATAAAGATTAAGTAAGGGCAAGTAAAATGAGAAAGTCATTAACACATGATTAATTGAGTGTTACTTATTACAAATTTGAAAGATGGATTTATTTGTTACTCAATTTTAGAGTAATTTCTATATAGAAAGTTTTCAAACAAAACAACCATGCATTTAGCAATGTGAAAAACGTGCTAACAAAAATAGAGGTAGAATATGCCTCCTAATAAAAAAGAACGGGGTCAAATAAAAGATGCACATGCTATTGAGGGTTGTACCCGACTATAATATTTGTATAGTGTGTGGGATGTTGATACAAAGGTACACATGAAATTGCGGTAAAGCAGGTGGAAAATAAGAAATTTTTATATTGGTCAAACTCTAAAGATGGAGAATAGGCCTAATCTAGTTTATATGTATAGCTCTAGGATGTCTCCAACAGAATGGTGGAGCAAGCTAGCTAATATAGCCTACCAACTAGTACTCACCGATAACTAACCGACGACTTATAGTTGGCGGCTAGCTATTCACTTCCTTCGAGTGGATCTGCGATGTGGCTTGTAGCTATGGCTTGTGTTTCGGTGCCCTCCCCTCCTAGTGGTGTTGTATTTATGTGGGTAAGCAACTTTCTCTCTAAATAGAGAACTCAAAAATCTCCTCTCTCTCCTCCCTCATCCTTTCCTCTCGTTCCCCATCTTCTTCCCCTCTCCTCTCCTTTTCCCCTCTCCTCAAATCCTCTAACCCATAGCAGGCGGCGACGCTGGCACCGGCAACAACAAACAGGAGCGGCGGCCACGCGACGGGAGTGGCCTGTGCGCGTCGGCTCCTCCAACACGGGCGGCGACAACGGGAGTGGCTTACGTGCCCTCTCCCCCTTCCCAGTGCACAACGGAGGTGGCAGCGGCTGGCGATGGCGAAGAAGACAGGGGCGGAGGATCCGCCGGCTCCTCTAACGTGGGTGGCGGTGACGGGAGGGGCGGGGAGTGGACGCGGCGGCAATGAAGTGGTGGGGAGGGCCAGCGGTAGACACCGTAGATCCAATGGCCTCTTCCCCCTCCAGCGCACGGATTCGGCAGCGGCTGCAATATGGGAGGGGCTAAGCCAGCGGCCTCTCCCTCTATGGTGACAACAGCGAAGAGTGGATCCGGCAGCCGGTATGGTGGTGATAGATGGGATCTCTCCAAAGGGTTACACTTTTCCGTTTTGAATTTTTTTTTGCCAACAATAATTTGTGTAGTCAGATGATCTAACACTCCGTATGAAAAAAAAAAACCATTTTCGCATACGGTTGGAGTGCCCGTATGAAAATATCGCTATTTTTTAGAGACCTAGGGGTAGGCGAGTGTTAGACCCGCCTGCGAAAATGCAATCTAGCCATTTGCAAAAATGCAATCTGTATTAGTATGTCTACCTCCCTGAGGTAGAATATTCTACTTGTAATAAGATTGTATGCCTCATATGACATGGCCACAATATTGTCCTTTTCTTTTACCTGGTCATTATATGAGCCACATATATGTACACAGTACACCACATTGGCAGATTAGGACCACATATATATATAATTAACGTTACGAAGCGTTAATGGCAGGTCGGACCGTCGGAGGAATAATAATCTAAGGGTTGAAGAATGCATGTTGATAATGGTATTGTTGGCCAATGATGGGGGCATTATGAACTAAATGATCAATATGTTGGAACTTTTGGAAAGCATTATTTTGGTTGCGACTTATAAAACGAAGAAACGTGACCGAAATAAAAAAGAAGTTACGGCAAGATTTTAATATTTATAGCAGCCCATATAAAGGTAAGGTTGAGAAATAGAAAGCGATGAATATATACAAATATATAATATATCTCTACTATTATAAAAATTAAAATTGTTTTTGCCGGTAGCTTGGTACGTCATCCGTGTATGAGTCGGTTTTTAACTTTGTTCGCTTTTAGAAATACATATATATCCGTATTTGAGTCAGTTTTTAGGTTCGTTCGCTTTTGGAAATACAAAAGAAGTCATATAGTAAGAAATGTCTTTAAAAAAATCGCATGCTAACTTGAAATGATCATACTTCTAATTGCAGCTTATGATTTTCTAAAAAATATATATGTTCAAGCAAATTCACACAGTAAATTTCATCTTAATTAAACCGTATAACAATAATAAGATTAAAATAACCCTCACCTGTTGCAACGTTGCAACGCACGGGTATTTTTTCTAGTAAAATAAATAAACAAATCCTAACATCTCAATGACTTAAGGATGAAGAAAAAAAGACTGAAATATCCCTGATATTAATAGTAGTATCAATGGATGGGTAGATGAGTAATTATTAAAGAAATATTTTTTCGATTCATGGACCTGTAGTAGGTAAGAAGGTAGGTATTGGTTTTTATATTTTGAGACAAAATTAATTTAGACCCTAAATGTTAGTTTATTTTGGGACGGATAGAATAAACTCATTAGTTTGGCATCTACAATATTGTAACTCCATTTCACATATATACAGACACGGCACTGTAGATAAACATCTATAGCTAATAACAATTTTCGTTATGTTCCATTATTTTTTTTATCTTCTTTATATCTTTACCACATCTTCCGTCTGGCAAAATCATAATACTATCTCAAGTAGGATGCACGGTTCTCTTCACTCTTAATTTCCATTTTTCCCATACATTTTCCATGCATGACATCAACCACATGTAAATAAAAGAAAAGTCCTCCAGCTGAGTGGACCATGAAAGAATGACCATGTCTTCGATACACTTTGGTTCCAACTATGAGCATCTCCATCTATCATATAAGTCAGCATCCAATATAATCAACCATCGACAAATATGTAATTACTCGAGACATGAATTCTAGCATACGCCAATTGTGTCGCCCATAGCTTAAAGTTGATGTTTCTATCTCGAAAAGTACATCAAACTTCACGCAAAAGTATATTTACATTAAGAAAACAATGGACACGACCAAAATGACAACAAACTAACGCAACTACAAACTAAGCCGGCCTCCTTTTCTTAGCTTGCCACGGCAAATGAGCCACTTTTCAGTTGCATACAAAGTTGTATCGAAGACAGATTAACAAACAAAAGAAAAAGGAATCACGCATGTCATATCATATCTCCTGTTCCTAGCTTCTATTATCTTTAAAGAAAAAAAATCCCATATTCCTTCTATCACAAAATTAATTAAGTTATAAGCAGTGGGAATATGTTGAAATTCCTGCACGCCATGCATGCTTTATTAATTACTCTCTTGAGGAGTTCATTTGAAGATCGACATTTAATTTTAAAGTATGAGTGTGATATTTATGCTTAATTGTTTAGTATATATTAAGATCTCCTGCAATTTAATTATATATATGTCCCTCTTTTGGGGATAACGTAGTCTAGTGCCTAGGCAGTTGTGTTGCCCTCAAATCTGTCGGTTTTCAGCAAACAGAGATAAGTGTACTTCCTCTATTTTAAAATATAAGTATTTTTTGGTTAACATGGGTAATAAAAAAGTAAATGAAAATAATTGAAGAAAACTTGTGATTGGTTAATAAGAAAAAATAGATGAAAAAATTAAATAGAGAACAGTTATGATTAGTTATGAGAAGGGATAGGTAAAGAAATAATTTATTTTATAACAAACTATTTGGAACGGATATACTTAGTAGTTACAAATCTGTACTTATATGAATTAACTTAAATATAGAGAATCTCTCTTGCAGCAGTCTTTGATCTGCAGTGACATCTTCAGACCCGATGCATAATCCTCTTCTGGTCAAGCTCAAACTCCCAAATCATGACGAGATAATTATCAAATATAAAAATGTATTTTTGTGGATGGACAGCCGCTGTTGATGATGATGTTTGCCAGCGATGGACCCTCCAGTGGACTGATCAAATGATGCTGAATGTTGGACTGGCTGATGCGGACATGCTACGTTTCCTTGTGAAAAATCTTGCGACGCACTGACTCACATGGGGACTTGTGATCGATTGGAATGTGCAGAAGAGTATACTGTAGTTGAATGGGGCATTGCCAACTTCCTGTCTCTGAGAAACTGAGCTACTGCATGATTGGCTCTACTATACTCCTATGCTCTAGCTTTGGATGGTAACAAATTATCGTTTGATTTTTGAATCAACTACCATGATGATGATGGTCTGATTTAAGTATGGGGTCATGACAGGATTAGAAGCTGCTAATGATTAAGGTATCAAGAATGCATTGTTGGTTAAGCAGTTTAAGCTATTTTATCCCATGTCAGACAAATGATGCTATCATTTTCCATTTTAGAAAAGTGGTGCTATGGTCCAAATGTCTTGGAGAATAATACTCACATGGAAGCGAGTTCACGGCAACAGCCAAGTGGTTTCAGCCCAGTTTTGACTTGACTCACTAAGTCCCGAACTGACCGTCTTCCAAAACGCGACCCATTCTTTACGCAAATATATCAAAGTGCGGCTTCAAAGAAAGTTAATACTCTCTCCGTCCCAAAATCTAATCTAGATACGAGCATGTACAAATTCGTTGTCCTAGAATAGATCTCATCCCATCTTAGGTTGCTATATTTTAGGACGAAGGGAGTACAGAATAAAACCAGCAAGTTAGCAACAAGAATAACACACAATTCATTCATGCAGCTTTAATCGTTTGTTACAACAAAAGAATCACTCACTGGTTCAGTTTCACACAAAACTGTACTGAGGGCAGCTTCAAAGGGTAAAAAGAAAAAAAAAATCCTGCTTACAAAATCACCGTGTTACAATCAACACATCAAACAAATCATATACCTCTGCCACGCTCATGTAAATGGGTGTGTACCCGTATTTACAGTGTTTCTGATTCCATTTACAACTGCTTCAAGAACTATACATACCATTGGATCTATGCACACCTTTTTTTTTTTGGCTGTGAGAAAGAGAAGTAACACTGGCATACAACAAAAAACTCTGCACACCAAGAGACGCAAACCTGGCATTCGGCAAACTCTGACATCAGTGGCTAGGCTTCTTTTTCTGAAAACAGAGACAGTATTGATTAGGCATGAACACCTGGATAGACAGCTTTTCAGAGTAAAGGTATTCATGCAGAAAAAAAACTGTGACATCAGTTGATTAGGCATGACTCACAGGCATCCTGAATCCTGCGTAACAGAAGCCAACTTTTAGCGTCGGACCTAGTCTTCAAAGGGGAAAAAAAGGGTAGGACTGATCCATTATGCATTTCTGTTTCTTCAGTGTACCACCTCATGATTTTTCCAAACATTGTAAGCTCCTGTCATTGTTTCGATTGCTCTGACCACTTCTGTAATATTCATGTGCGCTGTTTGCACTACTACATCAAAGATTCTGTATACATCCCCGCAGAAAAATAAAGATTGTGCATCTATCATTTGCTTTTCTGTATTACATTGTAAATGCCAAAAATTAGCAAGCAGCTGATGATATTTTGCTTTAGACATCAAGAGAAACTAAACAAATATCAACAACAAGGCAGTGATATCTGACAAACCAATTGCTGTTACAAAAACAGTGAACAATTAGACACCTAAAACTGAACTACCATAGATCGAAGGATCCTACAAGACTCTGTTCTCTTTCGGCTTTCTTCCAAAAGCTGGGTAGTAAAATGCTTGTTATCTAAAAATAGATCGAAGGATCCACAAGGTGTGTATTTATGGAATTCAGAGAGGATAATATAGAACAACTGGAATTTGTTTATGTATATGACGCTGGAAACAAAACAAACAGCTAATTTAGCAACATCAGTTCAAATTACTTGTGAAATGTAGGCATGAAATGGTTCTACAGCTCTAGGTAGCTTCCATTCTACCTTTCCTCTTCTCAACTAAACATAGCCATTCCTTTTAAGTCCACATTAGACAAAATATTTTAAACTTTTTGGATTTAGAAAAATAAACTTGCTTTGAAGCTCAAGTTCAGTTTGCGCATTCAAACAGTTGAAGATATGGAACCTCATACAAAAAAATAAACAATTTGGAATTCAACAGTACAAAAAATAAGTGAATGAACAGGGCTGTGGTACGTCATTACAGTAAATGACAATGTATCAGCATTCTATCAATAGGAGTAGCACGGAAGCATAAGCAACGGATAAAGGGCAAAGTAAAGAAGGCCCCGCATTCAAGTCTAATGATTAGTAGGACATACTATCTCACAGTTCACATGTTCATACGACCAAGCATATAGGATTCTCAAACATCAGTGGTATAGCACCAGATTCGAGATATTTAACTATTTGCCACTTTTAGATGCGGCAATTTGCCCCCAGATTCAGATCTTGAATACCACGTCAGAATATGCTTTCTAGATAAACCAGGTGGATATTGATTAAAAAACAGATCCATCAGATAAGAAGCATTATAAAAGGTACAAAAGTTCAAAATAACACAACCAAATCTAATGCTTGTTAATGTCTAATCTAGCACTCCAGCTGGTTTCTGTGATATAACCTAACATGCTTCAAGGTAACTTAAAAAGGAAAGAACATAAACATGCATGCAACTATGCAAGGGGAAGAAGTACAGTTTGCTAGTCGTACTGCAGTCACAATGATAATTAAAAATTCTTGTTCCCAATCAAAGCAAAGCCAAAGTGCAGCATAATTTTCTGTTACAGAAAATGAGGGGAACTCTTAATATAATGTCCCTTTCAGGATTTTTTTATAGTTTGTGTTTTTACGGTATACAGGAATTTTTCTGTTTCAGTATTTCCATAACATGCATTGCATTTTTTTTAGGGTATGTGTTCCATACTGTAGTTGAACTAACAGAAAACAAGGACACAAGAAGGATAAAGTAAACTGTAGCACGCAAAAATGTCCAGATTACTGAGACACTGATTCCGTTATAAGGGAAAAAAAATGAAACATGGTAACAGCAAAGTTACCAAAATGGATCGGCAGCTATTATCGCATACCAATTAGTTGTAGGGTCCGAAAGTATAGCATATGCTTTCCCAATTAGTTTGAATAGATAGTCAGCATCTTTGCGGATGTCATTAGCAATATCTCTCCACACTGCATCGTTGATATTTTCACTTCTCACAAGAAAATTACCAGCCTGTGCCATATTAATATTAGAGAAGAGAAGAAAGTAAGGAAAGCCATACTAGATGAAAATGGTATTCAGTATTACTTTGTCTGGATGATGCCTTAGTGCTGCTTTGCGGTATGCCTTCTTTATATCCAAGAAAGTGCAAGATGGTTCGATTCCTCTGCATGCAAAAAAGGTGTAAATTTACTTCCAACGAATTTCAGTAGAGGAGAAGGTTTCTTTCAGAACAAACTCATACAGAATTAATTTCTTCTAAACATGGTTTAAAATGTACTCCTTTCTTCCTATTGTAAGTTTTTTTTTCTCAAACACGCAAGAGACTTGCATGTCATTTCATTAAGAGGAGGAAAGAAAGTACCCAAGAGAGGTCAAAGAAACCTCACCCAAACACACCGACAAACACTGACTCCCCATACTTAAGAGACTAAGCCGAGTACGACCATCCCACCAACATCAAACTTAATTGTCCAGGGTGAGCGACTGAAGGAGGAGCTCCTGAACGGCAGAAGCTCCAGCCCAACACTATGGCTACTCTCGTAGGCTATAGTTTGTAGGACCACCTGAATATTTGGGTTACCCTTCAAAAACACAGCCATTCCAGTGCTTCCATAGTTCCCAGGCTCTACTGGAATTATTAGAGAGTTGAGGCCCTTCTACACTTCCTTAGGAACGCCCCAGGCAACATGCTACCACCAGCTACAGAAATGCACGGCAGGCTGAGGTGCAAATGCAAGAAGGTTTGACACTGGAAAAAAAATCTCTCTAACTTGGATGCTGGTGATTGCAATTTTAGTACATATTTTTTGAACAGGAAACAATTTTAGTACATAGCTGTCCACTTCTGTGAGTATGTGTGTGTGCAAGTGTTTGGGGTGATTGTGTGAGAACTGGGAAACTGGTGAAGGAGCTTTTGACAACATGATTTCTCATAGGTTGTGCATCCTAAAAGAAAAATATAGTCAGATAGTCCTGTTGAATGCACAAGATGGTACCATGAATAATATAACTTGATAAGGTAAGAAAGTGAAATACCAGTTTCAAATAACTTAAAAACAGATTCAACAGCTGAACAAGTTATAGGTAAAACATCAATCTATATCATAGAATTGCATGTTGTTATATAAAGAATGTGATTTTGTATGTTCAACATGAACTAAAATCTTTAAAGGGTATGCACTTACAGTATCAAATATACATTCAGTGAGATCCCCTTCTTGGCATCCCGCTCCAAAGCAGAAAGCCTAAGATTGGATCGGTTCAGACTGCTGCGAATACCATCTGATTTTTCTGAAGGCGTGTATATATTTTCTTGAAGCTGTCTCTCAAGAAGAGAAATTAACCTACGAAGATCATTCCCTGCCTGATCATAGTCCCTTATAAGTTCATACAAACCAGCTCTTCTAGAAATAGCCTACAAAAATAGGAAGCACAACATGTTGGTAATGTTATCCAGGTAGAACTCCATCTATGTAAAAGACTTAGCACATATCAACTAAATAAACAAGCAATAGAAGTATTCAAAACTTATGCAGCAAAATATTGTCAATAAAAAATAAAGTTCATATTATGTAGAAGAAATAAATCAATGTTGTAGCTCCAGATAAACAAATCAATAATAACTCCAGGATACAAGATCCATAAGAGTGAAGGGCAATTTTCTCTGGATGATCCAACAAGAAGGAACAGACACTGTCAAAGTAACTTGTAAAAGAAACATGGACCGCATGACACAAGATTATACACATAGTTTTGGCAAGACTCTTCGAAATAAAGAAAAGGAAAGAACATGGCTACAGTTGTCATTTCGATCAAGAGAAAAGAAAACTTTAACGAACCTTAGAATAATTGGAGTCAAGGGCTATGGCTAGTGAGCAATCTGCTATTGCATCTAAAATTTGGCCCATTGCTTGGTAAGCAGCTGCGCGGTTAGCAAAGCAGATTGCTGAAAAACGCGGTGACTCGGTATTGCTTAACAAAGCAGCAGTGTAATGCTCCACAGCCTCTGAATATTTACCAGCTTGAAATGCTTTGTTCCCAGCAGCCTGAAATGAAGCAAACAATAATTTCAAGCCACTAGTGGGAAATCCTTGAAATTTTTGTTCAATTTCTTGAGTATGACTATCATATTTGCACATGATTAATACGAGGATAAGGTATAGGAAAATTGCTGGATATAAAGGAAACAAACTATGTTAGAACATGTGGACAGAGAAAAACACATATTTGCTGCCTCTATCATACCATCAGCTAAAACTCTTAAAACTGAAAAAACTTAACAAGGCAAACATATGGCATACTTTAAGGCGAAGTAGTTCACAGATTGTCGTGGAGAATGATGAAACTGATTGCTGAGATTGCTTCCCGTACCTATTGAATTAGTTTCCACAAACTTAGCAAACTATATAAGACAAGATGCATGGAATACAAGAAACAAATAAAATTAACAAACCACTGATTTAAAAATATTGCCTGCATTCAACAAGTGCTTCCTGTCCGAGCTTCTTTAAAAACTGATGAGCCTCTTCAAGCTTTCCAATGAAGAAATAGGACTTCGCTATAATATAATAACGCCACAATTTCACAGAGCTACTGCAATTGTCCAAGTCAATGATTTTTGAATGCTGACACGGAGAAAAGCTATTTTCCTCTGCCAGATGTAGAGTTTCTTCACAAAACCGAATTACTTCTTCATATCGTTGTAACTGTTAAGTCCCAGAAAACCGATTGTTAACCAATAAAAATACACTAGCTGATGATAGCAATGAAAACATAGCAGTATGGCATGTTCAAGGCAAAATAAATTTACCGTAAATACAGACCAGTAACAAAGCTTCTGCTTTCATCATCATCAAATTATCTGAATAAGTACTTGTGGACAAAGCATCAGAGATCATCTGTAAGGCGCTGGGTATCTTATCAAATTCCTTTTTTACAATATATTCCTTGGATAGGAGCATAAAATTAGATACTTTCTGTCAACAAAAAGACAATAACATACTGATTAGATTGTCAATTGTCATGTAACAAAGTTACAAAGCATTTTGGTTTGAACAGATAATTCCTGAAAGAATTTATTAGGGTGTAAAAATAAGATAAGTTTTTTCCTTTGCATTAAATAAGATAGTTCTCACTAAATGGATATAATGAATTAAGAAATAAATATATCAGTCTGTCACAGAAAAAGTGACCAAAAGTCTGGTTTAGAAAGCAACCAGGGGAAGAAATGTTACAAACAGCCACAGTAAAAGGATTGTATTTTAAAAAAGTACTGTGAACATCATTGCCACCTGCGTCTGCTCATATTTATCATATACTCGTACTATGTAATATTAAATTACACTCAGTTTGTCTGGCACATTCAACGGTATATGAGGCAACAAGTTGGGAGTTTATAAGGTGTATGTACTGTTGAAGTAAGAGATACGTAACATGAATCTTTAGGAGATTGGCAATGTTATACATAACAGCATGAATCTTTAGGATATGTAAAACTAGATTTTTACTGTTGGTATAACATCTAGTTTTAGAACATCCCTGGCCTCTAATGTACCAAATTTAGATTAAAAAATAATTTCACACAAAATAAGCATGATCTTCTTTTTAGAGGAAGTAAAATAAGCACCACTAAGATAGCTATTCTGCAAGGAGATCCTCAACAGCTTGCTTCTAGTTATTCATTTTGCTATTCATAAGTAAAGGAATAACATGTGTGTGTTGTCATCAAATTTTAATCAAATTACAAACTTGTTTACCTTGTGATTACAAAAAAACATAGTAGAAACTAATGTACTAATGGTAAAAGGAAACGTATTTCACAGATTCCAGGATTCCTAGAGATATGCCAAAATTTAGAAAATGACAGCGGAAAACGAGATAATTACTTTCTGCGCTACCTGACTACCTTAGCTTTTTTTATGCCATCAGAAGCCTCTTCCGTGATTTTACTGTCCAAGCTTGCTTCATGATTAGACTTCAAACATATTTCAAAACCCTTTTGTGCTTCTTCTACATCCCCCAAAGCAAGTAGGCAACTATACCATTTATACAAGCACAATGATTAGTTCATAATCACAATGTTGAATATGAAGTATACTGAGGGCCAGAAAAATGAGCAACTAAATGCATTATCTAGTTATGCTTATTGAATCTGTGATGCAGAATTTGATTTCAGCATCATCCCTGACCCAGAGCTGAGCTCACAGAATATAACTTTGACGGAGGAATCATTTTACCTTCATCAAGATTTAACAGTAATTGTTCTCTAGACTAAATCATGCAAAAATGGCTACAGCAAACCTCAAACTCGTTAATTAATTACGTGTCACTATGAAATTACGGTCATTTGCCAAAACATGATTCACCCAATATAGTTTTTTTAAAAGAATGAAATGAGAGATAAGTGACTTGAATTAGAAACTCAGAAACTCTGCCCTGCCTACCTAACAAATTCGCCATAAACCATTTAAACCTAGACATAAACTGGTGGCAGCGCCCACAATCTGGAGGAGGCGATAACTGCTCACAATGCCGTGGCATCTCCAATGATGCATACAGCATGAAGGACAGGACACAACTGGACTTTTAGCAAATATCCTTGACAGTGGCAATTGTCGAGGGCATCGTGTTTGGGAATAATACAGTTGAGACTCCATCCAACACAGTGTTGTCAGGCAGAGCTGTAACAGCTAACATCTGTTACCCCACTCAAGCTTAGACACGGCGTGACAGTACATTGTAACCCTTAGAGGCATTTTGGCCATATCTTGTATTGCTTGCTCTCGAAAACTCAAAAGATGGTACACTAATATCTGTAGTGTGTTTCAGAAAATGATCATGATTATGTAATGGTACTTAACTAATTCGTGAGTACACAGCTCATTGAATAAATGATACAAACACAACATCTATTTATGGTGCTTGAATCAGTAAGGCTAACAACATAGTATCACCTTGCAAGTTGTAATCACGCTATGATAGTAATGTTACAGTTTGACCTTAAACTTTAAAACAAGGAAATATTTCTTTACTTTGAGAACTGGAGGCCAAAAAATACGGCAATCAATTAGGATGAATTAAAAAAATAACAGATTCCTAGGAGAATTAATTTAATTAGTCCATGTCTTGATCTTTTATGTATGATAAAATATCTTAATATTTTGATGCTAAATGATATGAATTTATAATGCAATTTCAAAAGTTTGCCGTATTATATTGGCCACTTCAGTGAAAGCACATCCCTAGCCATTGATCTTACTTGGCAGCTCTGATTTGAGCCTTCAGAAAGCTGGAATCAATATCAGTGGCTTTTCGACAATCAGAAAGGGCCTCTCTCATCCTACCAAGAGACATCCGAGTAGCTGCACGATTGCTGTAGCACAGCATCAATGATTTCCAAGAAGCCTCATTCAAAGAAACAGAATTGATTCCATGGGTATAGCACTCCTCGGCCTTAGCTAACTGTCCTTCAGCATATGCTTGGTTCCCCCTAATGCACATCAAATAATTTAGCTTAAAAAGCGGCAAAGCCAAATATCACAAAATATTGAAAAAACATGTGTGCCATTGTTTGAATCACAGTCGAATTGTAAAATACTTATTTCTGAATTTGGTTGGTTGATATACAGTGTTATGTATATCATTTGTTCAGTTACGGAAGATCTGCAAGTAGTCTTATATTAAGCAATAAAGGGTTGTACTTCTCAAATGATTGCGTTGCTACAACTAAACCAAAATAAGTAAATAAACAGCAATGCAATAAAAATCTATTTGCAAAATTTATAAATTACAAGGCATTGAAAGGGATGCTGTGCGTCGGCACATGTAAAGAACCACCATACGCTTGTCTGTATTTGAGAATAAAATTGGTTGCTGAGAGGTAAGTTATTGAAAAGGAATTGGTATACATGCCAAAACGTGTATAATTAAAAAGCCTGTGACTAAAGACAAAGGCTGATTTGAGAACCTTATACGCCATGTTTCACAGTCTTCTTGATGTCCAATGTTTTCCTTAATTGCTGGTCCTACACTCACTGTAACTGTTTTAGGATCTGTTTTGTTGTATTTGGTCCATTGAGCAGGTAAATCTGTGTATTGCTGCCTTGAGATTTCTGAGTGTGCAAGACCAATGGCAGATGACGGATGGCTTTCAACAGAATTAGCATGATTACTCATTCCTCCAATTTTTTTCTTGCTAGGTCGTCTTTGTGAGTGCAATTTACTATGATCAGTTGATGCCGCAAATATGAAATCAGAACGACTAGAATTTTCCAGGTTTGTCACAGAAATAAACACTGTTCTGTCATGATTACTCTCTGTTGCTTGCGGGCTAAAGCAGTTAACATCTTCTTCCTTTGTGCCAGAGTTTCCTTTACTGATATCAGAGTCCTCTAGTCTGAAGTTAGTGACTTCCTTCAAATGCAAATTTACTTCTGGAGCTGCTTTCTGATCGCTTATAAAGAGTGGTAGCGGTACCTGGTGGGCTGAGAACTTCTCTTGTTGAACTGCTCTTTTATTCATGCTCACACCCTTAACCCCTCCATATTCTCTGGACGCTGCATCGTTGTCATGTACAGTAAAGGATTGCTCATCAACCAACCCCAAATCGCCAAGTTCTGATGTTCGTACTCCAGCGCTTCGTCTTTCATCAGACAACTTTGTGGAAGAAACCTTTGCACCACTATCCTGAACTACAAGGCCAAAAGGTAAAGCATTTGAGGCTTTTGCTCTAGTGGAAACTCCACGATGATCCCTCATACTTGAGCCACATCCATGCCTTTCACCCTGAAAACTGGACTCGGTGCATGCATTACCTTCAGCAACTGAGGCATCAAGCTGATCAGAACCAAATGCTACAATCTTTTTCTCTACTGAATCTCCCTTCTTAATTTCAGTTTCTGTTATTTTTGTAGTGAACCCCCTTTCCTCAGAATTCTCACCAAAGACAAAAACAGATTTACTCTCCCTGCTATCAGCACCATCTGCAGAAATTTTGCCTTCATCCTTTGCGAATTGCTTAGCAACATTTTCTGTGGTACATAGTGATGGCCTATCCATTTGACCAACTAGTGAGCAGCTACTCTCTGTACTCTCGCGTCCCATTGTTTGAGAAGGAGCACCAAGCCCTTCATCACGGTGATCGATCTCTTGACGAACAAAATTCGGACTCAAAACCGAATCCGTAATCATCTCCGGAAGTGAACCATTTCCTCCAGAAACATCGACATCGCCTTGCCTATTGCGGGGATCATCTATGGTGAGCTCGCCCACCGTTGCTGAGAAGCTCGACGACGGTGCGGCCTTGCTGGATCCAAACGAGAAGCTGCTCCTCGTGTCCGACGCCCCGAACACGAAGCTGGACGAGCTCCAGGAGCTCGCCAACGTCGGCGAGCACCCCTCCACGTCGACGAGGCCGGGCGCCGCGGTGTCCCCGCCGCCGCCGCCGCCACCGAAGACGAAGCCCGAGGGAGCGCGCGATCCCGCGGCCCCAGCGCCACGCCGCACGCCGTGGCGGACCGGGATATCGACGCCGAGGCGCCGCGTCGACGACGACGACGAGGACGAGGAGGCGGAGGCGGAGGCGGAGGCGGCGCCGGGGTGGTCCGACGACCGGAAGGGCGCGGGCTGGCGCCGCGGCCTGGCGGCGCGGGGGTTCCTGGGGCTCGAGGCGGCGGGGATGGTGGGGAATGGGGCGGAGGCGGACAGCGGATCGGCGGCCGGATCCATCGCCGGCGGCGGCGGCGGCGCGGCGAGGGAGGGGACGTGGGCTTCGTTGTCAGGAGAGGCTGAGGGGTGGGGCCATGGACAGATAAAGGAGAAGAAAAATAGAAACGGAAATGGATTGAATCGGCCCTGTATATCATTACTCGTCACTATCAGCAATCAGTAATGGGAGTATTAAAAATAGAAAAATAAGATGAAGAAAAGGCAGGATCATATGCTAGTGGTGCTAGCGGGATGGGACAGCTCGGGGTGGAGAGAACGTGCTACAATTGAAATACCCAAAATTGCTCAAATATAATAATAATAATAATAATAATAATAATAATAATAATAATAATAATAATAATAATAACTACATAGGAGTGTGCATACACGCATGTCACTAGATTTAAATATCCATAAATGTGCCACCTAACAGGCTAACACACGTTTAAAGAGATAGAAAACGGTGGCATATCCATGATATCACTAAGTTTTTAGCCTTTTAGGATTTGAACTGATTGTTTCTGATATAGTACTCTTATCACCTTAATCTAAGCATGTGTGGCAGAATCCCCAAATAAAACCCAACCCTAAAATTTAGTGTACTCTTAAAAAAGTGGGTCTAATAGTTCCCTTTAAAAAATTGGCTCCAATAGTTCCCTTTAAAGTTGCTAAAAATTGTCCCAACACCATGTCCCTTGCTCTACGCAAGTTGGCCAGGGCTACTTTCTCCCAATCCATCAATCCGAAGGTATTTAGTGCGCGTGAGGGGATCAAGAACTTGCAGCACACGGAAGAATGACACTAATCACGCATGGAAGTGTATCTATTCGAGAACGCTCTGGCTCAGGCGCCTATGGGAAAGAGAATATCGGGTGACCACGCCTCACCGCCCTTTTCTCTCCTTTCTCTCGGTCTGTCGGAGAATGAACTCCTCCACCAGGGAACCGTGAGGCCCCCTTTGTGAGTTCGGTCGGGGGCAGCGGGTGAGATTTGAGGATTTGGTGAGCGAAACTGTGTGATCTTGAGCGGGTTCAATCCCCCAAAAACGATGAGACAAAAAGGGTTTATACAGGTTCGGGCCGCTATGAAGCGTAATACTCTACTCCTGTGTATGGGATTTAGACTGAGAGTTACAAGGGTTCCTAAATTCGGGAGAACACTCTTACTTCCCTCCTCCACAAGCTCAGGTTTTCTGAGAGTCATCCCCTTTCTCGGTGGGCAAGATCCTCCTTTTATAGTTCAAGGGGATACCACATAGGCTCAACAACCTAACTTCCTCGAGAAGTATTACCATCTTTGCATTAAATGCATGTCTTGTTTCTTAACTTGGAAGCCGCATACACGTCGCCTCGGTCGTGGGGCCTACCACACCATGCCGCCTGACACAGGGGGCGCCCATGTCATTCACCATTTAATGGGTGAAGACTTCTGGGCTCCTATTACACCGGGAAACGGGAGCCTAGCTTTGACCAGAGCGGGAGGACCAACTCCGGCTGGGATAAGAGGATGAGAACCTCTCACCATCATTATTTGATGGGACATGTCAGGCTGCACGCCGCCTGACACACGAGCAGCGCACAGGCGCACTACCCAGTCCCATCGGTCATTCGACCGGTCATAGACCGGTTGAGTACACCGCACGCCGCATTAAATGCGGGTAGGTGGGCACCTATAGGTGGACACCTAACCCACCGTACGTGGTGACCTAGAGAGGGGGTCGAGTGTAACGCCCCGATTTTCGTTCGGGATTAAAAATCATTTAATAATGCATTTCCTAGAAATTAAATAAAAATTTAAGCAATTTATTCGAGTGAATTAATGGGAGAATTAAAATTTTCCCTTAAAAATCATTGGCCGAGAATATTTTGCAATATTCTTTGTGCCCTAAAATACTCTCTGAAATTTCCCGTGAATTTTCGGAGCTCAAGAAATAATTTTAAATAGCACAAAGTTCATTTAACCAATTAGAATAAAAAGAAAAGAAAATAATCTTCCCCTTCCTTCCTTTCGGGCTCGGCCCAAATTCCTCCCCTCCTCCTTCCTAGGCCGGGCTTCCCTTCCTCGGCCCGCTCGGCTCTCTATCTCCCTCAAGTCTACATTACCTCCCTAGCCCGTTTTCCCCTCCCCCTCTCTCCGACAGGTGGGCCCCACATGTCATCTCCTACCTCCAGCTCCATCCCCAACCGCCGCCATGGCCGCCAAATCCTCCTACGTCGCCGACTCTCCCGCGCGACTCCCTCTCCCGCGCGTGCGTGGACGCGGTCGTCGCCCACGTCCGCGCCGTTTCCCCCTACTCTCCCCGCAAAATCCGGCCACGTCGCCGCCTCCCGCGTCTCTCTCTCCTCCCACGTCGCTGGCCGGTTTCTACCTCTCTCGGGCTCGATCCCGCCTCCCCTCCCCTATAAAAACATTCCCCGCACCTCCCTCTCCATTTTCCCCTCTCTCCCGAGCCCTCCCGTGCAGAAAAACCACCCCGCCACCGTCGCACCTCCCGCCGCCGCTCGCCGACGACCCTCCAGCCGGTCGCCACAGCCGCTCCCACCACCGTCGTTCCACGCGACCGCCACCAGCGGCTTCGCCGCGTCGTGCCACACCCCGGCGTCCGCTCCATTTCCCCTCCCCGCCTCCGAAGCACCGTCGCCACGCGCACCACCTCCTTCCACCGAAGCCGCCGACTCCAGCCACCGCTTGGCGCCGCTCCTAGCCACCCCAAGTCGCGCTGTCGCCGCCGCTCGCTTCGCAGCGCCGAGAAGCACCTCGGCCGCCGCTTTTCACGGCCGAGATCCCACCGGAACACGGTTCCCCTCGCGCCGGTGAGCATCCGCCGCCCGTTCTCCCCTCCGACCAGCGATTCATGCCGCTGGGAGCCCTCTCTCCCCCTCCTAACCTCTCCCCCATCCTCCCCAGGTCCTTCCGGCTGCCGTCTGCCGGTTCTCGCTCGCGGAACGCCGCCGGGCCACCGTTCCGCCTTCATCCCGAGGAGCGCCGACGCCGAGCTTCCCCCCCCCCCCCCGCCTTTCCCCGCCCCTCGTCGCCGCGTCCTTGGTGAGCTCCTCCTCTCCCTCCTTGCCTCCCTCCTCTGTCTCCCGTGGCGCTGTCGCGCCGGTGGCCGCCGCCGGCGACCATCGGGCCGTGCGCCGCTGCCGTTAGGTCGGCCGGCCGGCTTGCCGCCGCCCCGCTCGCCTGGGCCGCCCGGATCCCATTGCCGCGCCTCACCGCCGCTTTCTCGCATGCACCAGCCGTCGCAGCAGGAGGCCGCGCCGCCGCGAGCCGTCGCTCGGCCGGGCCGGCCTGAGCCGTGCCCGTGCTCAGCCGCGCCACCCCGTGGTCCCGGTCCACGGTGGACCGATTCCCTTGACCCGTTGACGTGTGGGGCCCGCCTGTCGGCGCCGGCCTCTTTGATGACGTCAGCGCTTAAGCTTTTTCCTTTGAGAAAATAAATAATAATTGCGCAATAAATCGAGTTTAATTCTAGAAATTCATTTAAATGGCTCAAAACTTCTAAAATTCATACCTAATTCATTCGAACTCCGAATTGAGCCATTCAACTTGCAAAATTCATCTAAAATTGAGCTCTACATGTTTGTTTAGTTTTTATGTACTGTTTTCTTGGTTTTTATTAGAGTTTTTCCTCGTTTTGCATGCCAGCGTGTAGAATCCATCGTTTCGGAAGTCCGCGGTCGCGAGGAAAAGAGTTCGGAAGATCAAAGTGAAGAAGCAAGGCAAGTCACACATTCCCCTTGAGCATGTTGATCCCAATTTACAAATGTTTTACTGTTTGCAAATAAATATGCATGTTTTGCTAATTACATGGGGTCAGGGTTTTACCTATCTGCTCGCTTGTGCCATGTTTACTTGATATCTGTCCTTCGTCAACCATGGGTAATAAATCGCCTAGCTTGTGTTACTTTAATGACCTAGCTAGAACTATATGCTTAGCCATGCTTAATTACCACTAGCTCAGTCGATGGGATAATTGCAGTATTAGACATTCTAGTATCTTGTTGAGCTGCGTGCTCGAGACATCTGGCCATGCTTCATGGTCGTAATTATCCAACTAAAATGAGACTGAATGGTGGGCTGTGGGTGCATGGTTTTGCTAGTCGCACCCATGGCAATTAAGGACCGGTTCGCGGGATGCCCTGGAAGAACTTATCGTACTTACCACAAGCCAGCGTGGGCAACGGCTGGGCTTGTAGTGTAGCTTTCCTCTAGCTGACGCATCCAGGCAAGGGTGGGCATGATGGAGCGGGGCGGGCCCTGCGACGGCCTCTGTCGCTTCCGGATTCACCTAGGCACGAGAGGGGACTGCCCGTCGCCCGCTAGGGACGGGGGTGAAACCTGAGGTGTGGTGTGCTTGGCTAGAGGGGGTTATGTGAAGGGTCCTGTCACGGCCTCTTTCCGGTATATCGTGGTGGCATGTCGGCGCACGGTAACGTGTCGTGGGGCTGTGTCTTGTGGGTACAGTTGTACACCTCTGATCAGAGTAAAACTATTCGAATAGCCGTGCCCGCGGTTATGGGTGGTCGACCAGATTCACCGTGATTAGTCTCACACTTAATAAATCGACCTAATACAATGTAGTTCAGGTGGGTTGGTTGGGCCTGTTCAACGTGGTGTAGTGTTGATCAGTGGAGATTTAATGTTACTCTAATTACTCAACAGTTTTACTGTTTTGCTCAATAAAATGTTTTACAACCACCTTTATACAAATAGCCACAAACCATCCTTGTATCCCCTTGCACGTCTGCATCGTTGGTGTGGCTTGCTGAGTACGGTGGTTGTACTCAGCCTTGCTATTATTCCCCCTTTTCAGAAGTGTAGTGCTTCTGAGCTGAAGACGAAGTTAGAGGACCAAGGCTCAGACCCCAGTTGAGTTTTGCCTGTGGAGTGGAGCTGAAGCCCCGCTAGGATCGCCTTTTTCCGCTGCTGCTGCTTTCGTTTCGTGCGAGGACTAAGTGCCTCTTTTGTAAGTATTTTACGCTTTATTTACGTTTGGAACTGTATATTACTTGTCGTTTTGTGTACCCTGGCTGGTCCTGGACAGGGATTTAATACACAAAATAATCTGGAAATTTGGGCTAAATTTCTGGGCGTGACATCGGGGGAGCCCGACCCCTAGTCACAGGAGGAGGCGGTCACCGCCTGACTTCGAGCCCGTTTCCCCCCTCGGGGGAGGGCCACGTGGCATTGGGGGGCAGCCTCCTCCGTCCAATCTCTGGGAGGGAGTGGCCACCGCCTCACCTCGGGCCCGACCCCCCTCGGGGGAGGGCCACATGGCATTGGGGGGCAGCATCCTCCGACTAGTCTTTGGGAAGGAGTGGCCGCTGCCCCACCTCGGGCCCGACCCCCCTCAGGGGAGGGCCACATGGCATTGGGGGGCAGCCTCCTCCGACTAGTCTTTGGGAAGGAGTGGCCGCCGCCCCACCTCAGGCCCGACCCCCCTCAGGGGAGGGCCACATGGCATTGGGGGGTAGCCTCCTCCGACTAGTCTTTGGGAAGGAGTGGCCGCCACCCCACCTCGGGCATCACTCCCCTCGGGGGAGGGCCACGTGGCATTGGGGGGCAGCCTCTCCCGACTAGTCTTTGGGAGGGAGTGGCCGCCACCCCACCTCGGGCCCGACCCCCCTCGGGGGAGGGCCACGTGGCATTGGGGGTAGCCTCCTCCGTCTAGTCTTTAGGAAAGAGTGGCCGCCACCCCACCTCGGGCCTCACTCCCCTCGGGGGAGGGCCACGTGGCATTGGGGGCCAGCCTCCTCCCTCTAAACACGATACCCCCGGACCCATATCACCGACACGGTCCTATCCATTCCCCTTCCCCTCTCTCTCTCTACCATTTCTCTCCACGCGAGGAACGCACACTTCTCTTCCCGCTCCTCCTCCGCGACGACAACGGCACTGAATGCCGCCACCTTATTCCCCGCCTAGCCAGAGTCCACCAGTGGCTATGGCAACGACAACGGCAACAAGATCCCTAGCCCCAACTCAGCAGCCCCCGCCACCGACGCGGTGTTGTCACCAACGATCTGGCTAACCATTGGAGATAAAAAAAAGAAGTGGATCTAGTTGGTGTTTTTTTAAGATGATTTTTTGATGTTTTAGTCTATTTGTCTGGATATTTCACTAGTTAGATCGAAGCGTGGGTTTTTCTATGGTGTTTCTTTTTTTTTTTATTTCACTTGGATCTTGTTGATGTTTCAATGTCTTTAAATCATTTCTTACATATGTTGAAGCAAATTATTTCATCTGACGATCCGATTTTGTTTCACATCCTCACTAAATGCTAAAACATTGCTTTATAAGAGGTGAAACAATGCCTAATTTTTTGAGAAAAAATCGATTGTCCGATTTGTAGTTGTTTCTTTATCTATTGAAGGAAGGATTCTAACTGATTAGCTCAACTAGTTAGGATTTTGGTAGTAGAACTTTTTCACTCAGACTAAGAACAATGTCAATAGTATAGCCAGCTAACGGCTATAAAAATAAGGGTAATTTGGAACCATACTATTATAATTTTGCAAAGTTTGAGATATGCCATCGGTATCTCAATGACATGTAGGACCCACATGAGTCAATGACATGTGGGTCAGGAAAACATATCTCAAATTTTGCAAAATTATAATGGCATGGTTCCAATCTAACAGCTAGTGTATACGATAGGTATCTACTACTCCCTCCGTTTCATAATGTAAGACTTTCTAGCATTTCCCACATTCATATAGATGTTAATGAATCTACACACATATATATATATATATATATATATATATGGGAAATGCTAGAATGACTTACATTATGAAACGGAGAAAGTATCTTCTATTGCTACACAATTCCCATCAACCATGAACAAATGCATGCGGTAGAATGAGGGTGACCCCACCCAGCTTCTTGCGTTGCCATAGTATGCAGCCAACAACAGCTAAATGCAATTGCCTTGGATAGTGTGAGCAACTAGCAACTAATTAGTCGCCCGCTTAATCTCTCTCACCACCTTTTTCACCTCCAGCTTAATCTCTCTCACCACCTTATGCATGCGGTAGAATGAGGGTGACCCCACCCAGCTTCTTACGTTGCCATAGCATGCAGCCAACAACAGTTAAATGCAATTGCCTTAGATAGTGTAAGCGGCTAGCGACTAATTAGTCGCCCGCTTAATCTCTCTCACCACCTTTTTCACCTTCAGCTTAATCTCTCTCACCACATTTTTTCACCTCCAGCTAAGCATTAACGCTGACATGGTCATGGTCATCCTATCGCCACCTTTTTCACCTCCAGCTTAATCTCTCTCACCACCTTTTTCACCTCCAGCTAAGCATTAACGCTTACATAGTCATCCTATCGCCAGCATCTACCGCCTTATTGTACCTGCTCTAATAAGTCTTAGATTACAGGTGTTCGTATTTACGACTAATTCATTTTTTAATATTGGTCGTTATGTCTAGAGGAGTTCGGAACAAAGAACACAAAAATGCAGCTATAGCGTAAGGTCTTTTCAGAAATCATATTTTCTCGGGAAACAGGTCTCGGGAAACAAAGGTGAAAGGGTTACTGTAATAAAAGAAAATGAAAAGGCGGTTCACTGTCTCTCTTTCAGGGTTGAGTTATAGGCCAAAAGAGAAAATCAATCCAAATGAGGATATTTAAAAAAAATGTTTAAAATGCACCTACAACTATACAACAAATAGATGCAAGTCATGAGTCATCATGCAGTTCAGTCTTTATTCAGTACAATTTCACACTGTTGTACCAAAAGGAAGAAAGACATAGCTATATCCATATATCAGCTATAGCAAAGTCAAATTGAAGAGAAGAAAACAAGACCAAGGAAGACAGCAGGTGGCAATTTCAGTGCAAGTATTGGCTTTATAAACCATACTCCCCAGTACCCAATGCCTTCAAGCATTTGATGAGTTGAGGCATATATTCTCCAGTTATTGATGAACTATGATGACAATGCATGAGTTGATTTATGAGCAAGTGTTTTAAATAGGGTATCATAATCAATCAAAATGGATATCCATTGAATCCATGAGTATTTGACCAGCAAGAAAAGCACTAGGCTGTCTTCAAGAAGAAAAGTAGGCACTATGTGAAATCAAATTACCAATCGTAAGTTCATAACAGAAGAACCCTACCATTCTATTGAAAATTTTACAGGGGCAGTAATCAAACAAACAACCCCATTGAATTTGAATGACTAGTGACCATCCAATATTCACATCATATGTCAACCAGCACTGTGGAAATCCCAATTGACACCAAAGTGGAAAAAAGTGTGATAACATTTTAAGCTGACAACTTTCAGACCACTAAATTAAGTGATGCAGAGGTTTTTTCACTCATCAATATCCCAACTCAGCTCTTCATCATCTTCGACAGAACTAAATCGTTTTCTGATATCCTCAGCTTTGCTAGGAGGGCTTGACCGTGGAATCGGTTTTTTCTTCTCATCTTCATCACCAACATCTTCGATCTCCTCCCAGCTAAGATCTTCCTCCTGTGCAGATGGAGGAGATGCCGCTGAGAATTCACTCTCCTTAGACGAGTCGATTTTCTCTTCTCGCCCCATGTCATTGCTCGACTTTGGTGCTGCTACTTCATCCTTGGATTCGCCATTGCCATCCTTCTCAGCTGCCAGAGTAGTCTTCTTGTCCTCTGAAACATCAGGTGTATCCGCTCCTTGTTTATCATCCTCTGTTTTGTGGCTAACAGGCTCCTCAATTTGCTCTTCTTTCTTATTCACTACGGTGTTGGCACCTTCCTTGTGATCACCATTGTCGTCATCCTCATCATCATCATCGACATCCCAGCTGAGCTCTTCCTCATCCTCCTTTGACATTGCCCTGGTCACAAGCTTGGTGCGGACATCCTCGGCTTGTCTGAGCTTATCGACGGCGAAGAAATACCGGCACCAGAACATGTCATAGTCTACCACCGATGGCACAAGCCTCTCTACGAAGCTCTCCAGCCCGGGGCTCTCCTTCAGCACCCCCTCGATCTCCTCTTTCCTCTCATCGATTCTGAACGCATCCCGCCACTTAGCGAACCCATCGGCATCCTCCGGCTCCTCGGTGAAGGTGGCAGGGTCGGCGCGCAGCGCGAGCACCTGCGCCTCGAAACGGGTGTACTTCTTGGACGGCAATGACGCGCGCCAGGAGGCGCCGGAGGCGGAGGCGGAGTCGGAGGGATGGGAGGAGCCGTCACCGGCGCCATCCTCGCCGTCGGCGTCGACGGATCGGAGGGCCTCGTTGGCGTGGGAGAGGAGGACGGCGGCGGCGGCGCCGAGGTCGTCGACTGCCTGGCCGACGGACTCGAGCCTGTTGGAGGCGGCGGACGCGCCGGCCTCGAGCGCGCCGGGGAACGCCGCGGCGGCCCGTGCGGCGGCGGCGCGGAGGGTTGCCGTCTCGAGGCGGAGGCCCGAGCCGAGGTCCTGGATGTCGCGGCGGTAGCCCTCGAGCACCGACTCCGACCGCGTCGCGAACGTCTGGATCAGGCCCCCGAAGCTCCACTCCCCGCCGTCGCCCGAACCCGCGGTTTCCCCTCCCTCCTCTTCCGCCGCCGCCGCGGCAGCCGCAGCAGCAGCAGCCGCCGCCTCCTCCTCGGCTTCCAGCTGGCTGTTCACCTTCCGCTGCTCCTCTATCTCCTCCGCCAACGTCTTGATCAGCCCGCCGAAGATCCACCCGCCGCCCGCATCAGCCTCCTCCTCGACCTCCCCCTTCCCCTCCGCCACCTCCTCCCCGCCCTCCTCCGCCTCCTGCTCGTCGCGCGGCCGCACATCGATCTCCTCCGCCAACGTCTTGATCAGCCCACCGAAGCTCCACCCGCCGCCGGACTCCGCCTCCCCCTCCTCCCCCTGCTCCGCCGCGGCTTCCTCCCCCTCTCCCCGCTCCTCCTCGTGCTCGTCGCCGCCGACGCCGGCGGCGGAGAGGACGGAGCTGAAGAAATTCATCGGCTCGCTCGGATTTGGATCTGGGCTCTCGAGAGAGAGGGTGGAAGGCGGCGGAGGAGAGGTGGGGTGGCGTGGCCGTCGGGATAAATCGGGGTAGATCCGCAGCGTCCTACTACTAGGCTAGAGCCTGGAGTACGTGACGATGACGTGTGGGACCAGGTAGGGTGGGCCCCAGATTTCAGCGAGAGGGTAGGATCCACCAGTGGTGAGTAGTGGAAGGTGGAGAGGGGGTAGAGGCTGGTCGGTTTGGTGCCAATCTGGGCCAAGGTGGACTCCGTTTGTGTGGAGCTTTGCCTACCTTGCGGGTATAGATCCACTCAAATATTATTTGGTTTTTTTGCCTACCTATATGGAGGATGAGTGGATCATCTCCAAATTTGAAATCTTGTATTTTTTTAAAAAAAAAACTTGGATGTCCTGAAATACGGAGTACATGAAAATCTTAAATTACTTTTTTATAAATTTAATCAAATTTAAAGAAGTTTGATTATGAAAAATTAAAGCAGCTTATGGCTTATAATTTGAAACGGAGATAGTAATTGTCAGACTCAGCTAAACCCAGTGATCTGATTTTGGATAGACACAGGTACACCGTAGAGCGGTACAGCTTTAATATCTCTGTCTAGAATGATGCATATTGTATCTCTTTAGAGAGCATGTACATATCTCTTTGGACAATTGAGATCCTCTGCAGTACTACACATAGAGTACCGCAGACGATCTGCATCCCTCTTTGGAGCTCAGTCGTTTGTAGCAGAACTTGTATACTAGCCTATACAGTGTATGCTGTGTTTAGATCCAGGGTGTAAAATTTTGGCGTGTCACATCGGATATACGAACACACATTTGAAGTATTAAACATAGTTTAATAACAAAACAAATTACATAATTCACCTGTAAACCGTGAGATGAATTTATTAAGCCTAATTAATCCCATCATTAGTAATTGTTTACTGTAGCACCACATTGTCAAATTATAGCGCAATTAGACTTAAAAGATCCGTCTCGCAATTTGCATGCAATCTATGTAATTAGTTTTTTTTCGTTTATATTTAATATTCTATGCATGCGTCCAAACATTCGATATGATAGGGTGTAAAATTTTGCCAGGGAATCTAAATAGGCCCGTAGTTACATGTTGGATGCAGAACCTGAGGGTCATGTCACCAATGTTTTCAGTTCAGGATTTATAACTCCGAACCCTTTTACCATACTGTTAGAATTCCCTTAAAAAAACCATACTGTTAGAACATTTGATTTGTAACGATCATAATCAAGCGTAAGGAACCAATTACATTTCTAACTGAGGGTGTGTTTAGTTCCTGGAAAAAGTTGAAAGTTTAAAGAAAATTGGGAGTTTAGAAAAAAAGTTGGAAGTTTATGTCCATGTTTAGTTCCAAAGTTTTTTTCCAAACCTCCAACTTTCCATCACATCAAACCTTTCACACACGAGAAAATTGCATATCTACCATCGCATAAGATTGGCTTCGCAGAAATACCATTGCTTAAATCGGCTTCGCTAGAATATCACTCCCAACTAGAACGGCTTCGCCAAAATGCCATTTTGGACGAAAATGACCCTGCATCTGTCTCTTCCACCTCCGGCACGAGCAAACGGCAATGGCGCGCGGCGCGGTAGCGGCGGGTGAGATGAGGAGCGGACGACGGTGCTCTTCTCCGGCGAGTTTGTTCGCCTCACCTAGCTGCGCCGCCCCCATCGCCGGCGAATTCGACGAATTGTCCCCATCGCCGGCGAGTTCATCTACCGCCTCGACGCACCGCCCCCATCCTCAACGTGTTCTTCCACCGCACCTCAACGCGTCACCCCCATCGCCGGAGAGTTCGTCCACCCCGCCTCCGTCGCCGATGAGTTCATCCCCATGTTGATGATGTCGGCTGAGGCCTCCTCCTAGCATGACGGGCAGGATGAAAAGGTGGGGACGACGAGGAGGGCAGCGCCCCCATCGTCGCCGGCAAGGTGGCACCGGTGGCTGCCGACGAGCTCCTCCGGCATTGGAGGAAGGGAGAAGAACCAGGGCCATTTTTGTCCAAAATGGCATTTTGGCGAAGCCGTTCTAGTTGGGAGTGGTATTCTAGCGAAGCCGATGTAAGTGATGGTATTTCTGCGAAGCCAATCTTATATAATGGTAGATATGCAATTTTCTCTTCACACACACATAATTTTTCTATCACATCGTACCAATTTCAACTAAACTTCCAAACTTCAGTGTGACCTAAACACAGTCTATGTGTGTAGGAAAGTTTTTGATGTAATATAATGTAATGAAAAGTTAGAATAGAGGAAAAACTAAACACGGCCTGAAATTTTCAAACTGTTGTAGGCTACAGTTCACTCTGACATGGGTAGACCAACCTGGTGGCGGTGAATGATGATACGAGTACTCCTCGTTGGGCACCCTGGACAGGACTGTAAAATTCAGCACGGCGATGTGTCCTGTATTCTTTCAGCAGATATCGCGCGTTCTCGGAAGAGAACTTTTACAGTAGAATTCTACTGTAAGTATATAGGGTAAGTTTGGTATTCGTGAAAAATATAGAAATGGCTGTTTAGTAATTTGAATTTGAGATTTATTTGCACCCGGAGTTAATCTCGGACGGGTTGTTTAGTTGGTATTAGTTCTGGATCTCGTAGTACGTTCGGCTAGAGCAGCAGCGCTTCTTCGGAATACATTGTGCGTGGCGGCGAATCGATTGTCGACGGACGAGCGCGCGTGGAGGCAGAGCGATTCCTTCCAATTGAAACAGTATTCAGTACATCGTAGTTCAGATGCCGTAAGCCATTAACGACACACATCTACCTCCATCTTGCACGCTAGCCTGAACTCTGAAGAATCACCAACACTCGTTCAACTATCTCAGAGACACACAGCAACTGCAGAGCTGATGTTGCTGCTCCAGTGCTCTGTGCTGCTTCCCCTTCCTCTCTCCCCATACGTGATAGCATGCGAGTGTGGCGGCGCTTGATCATGGTGGCTGTCAGCGGCGAGCGGGCCGGGGCGCGACGCGGTGGCTGTCGGCGGCGGCAGTAGCGCATGGGACGAGTCCCTTTCTCACTATCCGGATCTGACTAAAGAATAGAACGCGAAAATACAAAAATATCCCCCGCAAAAAATATGGAAAGACAAATATACCCTTCACAATTTATACTGTAAAAAAAAGATCGGATGAATCCACACCGTTAGATTATTTATACTGCAAGTATAGTATATATTGCAAGTATAATGTACCGTAAAACTCCTCTCTCAGAAAAGGCTAAGCTCAACTGGGAAGCTTAGTTTGGGTTTCAGAGGTAAAAAAAATAAAAAAAAGATTTGAAAGAAGAGACGTCCGTTCAAACATTTTTTTAAGAAGAAATTGTGAGCGTGTTGCGAATTGAATACGAGACCTTGGGGTTGAAACTACACACCCCTTATTATTGCACTATCGACACACATTCTCAGACAAGGCTAAGCTCAACTGGGAAGCTTAGTTTGGGTTTCAGAGGTAAAAAAAAAAGAAAAGAGATTTGAAGGAAGAGACGTTCGTTCAAATATTTTTTTAAGAAGAAATTGTGAGCGTGTTGCGAATTGAATATAAGACCTTGGGTTGAAACTACACACCCTTTACTATTGCACTATCGATTACATCTCCAATATACCGGACTTCTACTAGATAGTGGATTGAAACTAACTTGTTTTAGAAGTGGCATGAGGCCTTTATTTATCCTTTCGTTTGGCCTTTGAAAAAAAACACGAATATTAGAGAACAGACTACTAATATTAAATAATTAGAAGATATGAGACTTCGAACTAGGTCAAGACCCCTGGATGTTTCTCGTTTGGCCTTTGTTGTTCCTGTTGTGAACATACTAGCAATTAGCAAGTGATTCTAGATGTTGTCTGCCGTATATCTTTATGTATAGCCCCTGATTTGAGGATGCGGCTTCCCTGTTGCTGTGTTGTGTTCCCTTTACTGTTCCCTTCCATGTGTCAGCTCCTAATTGGTTGGGGTTTTTCTGGTGGGCCTCTATGCCTTGCGCTCCTTTTTCCGTCTACGGTGTTAACGGCCGTTCTGTGTCACATCAGGATTAACATCAGGATTAAGGTGGAAACAACGTAATTTAAGGACGTTAACAGAAAAATGGCGGCAAACCAATAAAATTGGTGGCGGGGAGAAATAACTGAGCTGGTTAATACGCAAGACTACACAACTATTTTATCTTAAAATCCACATATTGCTACTCCACAATAATACAAGCCTCCGCCAAATCTTGGCACCATGGCAGATGAATTTCCCATTCATGTATCAGTGCCATCACAATTGCAGAATGCAGGAACGACTAGCATTTTGGATGATCCTTCGGCGCCAACATTCGGAGACCTTGATGAATCCAAGGATCCATCGGATGGCATCTTGGATGATACTTCGGCGCCAACATTCAGAAACCTTGATGAATCCAAGGATCCACCCGATGGCCTAGGAAGAAATCAATTAGAAGATGTAAGATCTATTTGTTCTCCTTTACACTTTGTTAAATTATTTGGATCTAAGTTGAATTGTCTCATTGGACAACTCTCATAATTCCAATCAAGTGTATGTGCATAGGAACCACTGAAATGTCAATTTTATTGATCTTCTTTTTTTTTTTTGCATTTGTATGGGTAATAATACCACCCAATAAAATCAGGATCAAGGAAAAAATGGAACTTCTGATGCAACCAAATCTATGGAAGACAAGGTGCCAAAGGTCGGAATGAAATTTAACTCCGAACAAGAAGCTTATGACTTATACAATGCTTATGCTGGTGAAAAAGGTTTCAGCATTAGAAGAAGCAGCTATCATCATGTGGGACATACTAAAATTATTAAAAACATGACATTTTGTTGTTCTCGTCAAGGTATTTTCTTCATTTCTAGTATTTACATTAACATTTAATTAGAGTTATTTTATTTCAGTTGGTTCATTGAAATAATAGGTACTAGAGGTATTGATAAGAGAGCAGAAGCTGCAGGGTATGGTGATAGTTTTAGTAGGCCAGAAACTCGATGCAAGTGTCAAGCATGTATGAAGATAAGTCTCATAGATGGATTATATTCTGTCTACCACTTTATGCCTGAACATAGTCATAATCTTGCAACAAAAAGCCAGGCTCATCAGTTAAGATCACAAAGGAAGATAAATGAAGCTCAGGTTGCAAGTGTTGAAGTCGCAAAATCTGTAGGGATTTCTACTAAAGCAGCCATTGATTTGATGGCAAAACAAGCATGTGGATTTGAGAATCTCGGCTTTACTCGTGTTGACATGAAGAATAAGTTATACTCAAAGAGATCACTGCAGACAAAACAAGGTGATACCGGAGGAGTTTTGGAATATATGGAGAAGAAAGCATCAGAAGATGTCAAGTTTTTCTATTCTATTCAGGTTGATGAGGATGATTTAATAACAAACATTTTCTGGGCTGACTCTAAAATGGTTTCTGACTATGAAGATTTTTGTGATGTTGTTTGCTTTGACACAACATATAGAAAATTGGATGATGGACGTCCTTTTGGTTTGCTTGTAGGAGTGAATAATCATAAGAAGACTACTGTTTTTGGTGCTACGCTTCTATACGATGAGACCGCTAATAGTTTTGTTTGGTTATTTAATACTTTTCTAAATGTTATGTCGGGGAAGAAGCCAAAAACAATTTTTACAGATGAAGATGCAGCCATGGCTAAAGCAATCAAAATAGTATTTAAAGGAACTCATCATCGGATATGTGTGTGGCATATGAATCAGAATGCTTGCAAGCACCTTGCTGGGTGTGTTAAGGACTATAAGAAATTTAATGCTGACTTTCAGAACTGCATATATGATCAAGAAGAGGAAGAAGAATTTATACATGCATGGAACCAACTACTTGACAAATATGAGCTGCAGCAAAATACATGGTTGCGACGGCTTTTTGATAAAAGGCACCAATGGGCACTAGTATATGGGCGAAATACATTTTCTGCTGATATGAGTACCACACAAAGGAATGAAAGCTTGAATAATGAATTAAAGGGTTACATTAGTGTAAAGTATGACATGCTTACTTTTTTTTAGCACTTTGACAGATTGGTAGGAGATAAAAGATACGAAGAGGTAAGATGTGATTTCAAAGCAACACAGAGTACACTGAAGCTAAAGGCGGAGTTGAGAATACTAAGAGATGTGGCAGAAGTTTATACTCCAGCAGTCTATAAGAGATTTGAGGAAGAAGTAATGCAGACTTTGAATTGTGACATATTCTACTGCGGTGATGTTGATGCAGAAAAGGTGTACAAAATAAAGGTTAGTGGAAAGAATCATGAACATGTTGTTAAATTCTCACCGTTGGAATCTACTGTTAAGTGCAGTTGCAAGAAGTTCGAATTCGTCGGCATCCTGTGCTCTCATGCACTGAAAAATACTTGACATCAACAATATCAAATCAGTCCCGCAACAGTATATATTAAAAAGATGGACAATTGATGCAAAAGTACTACATATAAGTGGCAGTAGCAATATGCATGATGATCCTATAATTAAGTTATCATATCGGTACTCCTCATTGTGCAAAATGTTTGTTAAAATAGCTTGTCGAGCTGCAAAATCTGAAGAAACATACTCCATGTCTACTAATTGTGCCGAAAAATTGGCAGAAGATATAGAGAACTTCTTGAAAATCAGAGGTGATCCAGATTTAGACAGCTCCCCTTCCCCACAAGGTTTGTTTTCTATACAATAATTATTAGTCATATGACAATATAAATTATCCAAGTCTGAACTTTCTCTTTTCTAGTTGCGAAAGAAAATCAGATGGCTAGTAAACCAAAAGGCATTAAGCTCAAGAGAAAGGAAATTCGTGGTTCAGCTAGACCTATCGGTGGCTTAGAGAAATCATCTCAGAAAAGGAAAAAGAAGAAGAATGAAGACTCCCCAGCCGAGGTACTAGAACTTCAACCTGTGACAGAGATGCAGCCACAGCCATATGCTACAGTACTGGTATATTGCTCACATAATTTATCTCCAAAATTGCATGCTCTTGGTTTCATGACTGACCATTCTTACGCTTATTTTTCTTGTCCTAGGGTAATCTAGAGGTTCCCAATGACCAAGCATTTTTACATGTCTCACGGTACTATGCTGCTTTGGATGCATCAACTTCAAATCCTACTCATGTCTTAATGACTCCAGAAAATCAAGGGTTGCACCAGCAAGGGAGGTCAATTCAACAATTTGACACTGATTTATACAATCTGTTCAATTGATCTACTTGCAGTATTCATTTCTTTTCGCAAACGCTATATTTATTTCTACTTGCAGTATCGTGTCTCAACGTAGTATTTATTTCTATTTTGCACAGAAACATTTTATATTTTCAATTTACTGAAATATACACTTCAGTGATCTAGTTTACTTATAGTTCACATGTGGAGCCCCACTATTGTTCTACTCGTTTGCAGTATGCAACTTTTCCAAAGGCAATGTGTTTTTTTGTCAGATCTACAATAGGTGACATGCAAATGAGCATTGAAATAGGCAGAAATCATCTTCAGGCCAAATAAAATACTACTATCTAAAACATCCATAGCATTCACAAGTTGTAACAAAATGAATAGATCTGGAGAAAAAAAGGCATGCAACAACAAAGGATGGATTCCTTACCCAATATCCAAGCTCATGCACTTGATGCAGCTAGATCACAGGCAGTGGTATGCTCGCGTGTGGCGACGCTTGTGCTCCTCCTGTTGACCACAAGCAGCGGAATCCAGCGGTGCGACCGCGCGCTGTTTTCGCCACAAGCAGCTCAATCCGGCGGCCGGCGGCGTGAGTGCTCATGCCTGGACCACCCGTGCTCGATGAGGCTTGGTTGATGGAGAAAATGTGGGGAATTTTTGATTCGTTTTGCTTATACTAGCTCAAGTGATAAACAAACTAGAGAGAAGCTGAGTAGAATTATTAGAGAGAGAAAAGTGAGACTCCATGCCGTTTGCGTGGAAAACGAAACTGGCGTTAACGGCCGTAAGTATTAAAAAGGAGCGCAAAGCATAGAGGCCCATCAGAAAAACCCCAACCAATTAGGAGCTGACACATGGCAGGGAACAGGAAAGGGAACACTCTGATGGTTTTGAAAATAAGAGTTTTGACATGGCTGTCCAATATATCATACTCGGTGTGAATTTTGAATGGGTGCCTGTGGAAAATGATTTGGCAAGTTTATAACTGGATCAGCAACCTCGCTAAAAGAACTCTCCAAGATTTTTGAAGTTAAGCTTGAACACCATTTTGCTGCTGTTCTGCCAAGGCTTATGCTTAATTATATTTACCTGTATGAATCGTTGTCAAACCTTATGCTGGTTAACATCGAAGGAGCACAAGGGAGCAATTACAGAACCAAGTTGGACAACATCGGTGTCAAAATTGCAGGATCCTAAATGGAATTTCCCTTTTCACGTACTGGACTAATTTAAATTTTTTGAAGAAAAACATTAATCCGTTTGAATTTGTTTCTCATATATAAATTCCAGTATGACCACATCTTGTCGACGGCAAGCACTCTTACATCGAAACAAATGAATCATTCAAACAACCAACAAAAAAAAATTACAGATCGAACAGTTCCAATCCGACTCGCACAACAATCGCATTCGAATCATCATCGATTCAAGGTGAGAAGGCCAGATCAGATCGCCGGGCGAAGGCGCCACCAACTTCTACGCGGTGGGCTTGTAGAGCTTCTCGACCATCTTCCTGAACTCGTCCTGGTTAGGCCAGAGGGCGGCGGCCTGGGTGTTGAGGGGGGAGTCGTTGTTGGGCTCGCCGAGGAGGCTCTGGATGGAGAGGAGGATGGTGCGGACGTCGTAGGCGGAGGACCACTTGTCCTGGAGGATGTCGAGGCAGATGTTGCCGTGGGCGTCCACGTTTGGGTGGAAGCAGGGGGTTTCGAACCTCACCTTGGGCGGCTTGTACGGGTACTCGCCGGGGAAGGCGAGGGAGAGGCGGTAGGAGGTGCCCTCGTACGCCGTCGCGGCGGACCCGGCGATGGTGCCCACCCAGCTGAAGATGTTGTCCCCCTCCGGGAACGCGGACACGCCCGGGTCGCCGCCCATCATCAGCGCCATCAGCTCCGACTGCAGCCGCCGCACCACCGACTGCCCCTCCGCCCCCGCCCCCCGCGCCTGCTGCTTCCCGGACGCGGCCGCCGTCCCCGCCGCCGTGGACGCGGCGGTGGCGGGAGGAGGCACGTTGCCGCTGCCGTGCGCGCCGGTGTTGTTCTCGCCCCTCGCCATCCTCCTCCCTCCTTGCCTGGATCGAGAGAATTCGAGATCGGTGGAGGCGCTTCGAGAAGAGAGAGAGAGAGAGAGAGGGAGGAGGAGGAGGAGGCGGCGCGGTGGGGAGTATATAAGGGATTGGTTTAGTGACCGTTGCTGCAGGGTTGCGTGGATGGGGCAGCTTTCCGGCGCGGCGCGGCGGCGGCGCCCCAACGGCTAGTTTCCGGAGAAGCGGGGCGCGTTCACACTTGGGGGTGGGGAGGCGGAGGTGTGGGGCCCACGTGACAGGTTGCGTACGGTGGGCCGCGGCGGGGGGCGGCCTGGTCCGCGCATTGGCCCGCTCGCCAGTGAGTCCGTGATAGGCTGATGGGTTGATGAAATTCATGCGGATTTTACGCTCTATGTCATTTTTGGTCTAAAATTATTTTAAAAATTATGAAATTCGATATTATTAGGATTAATTTTAGGGGTTTCTTTATTGTTTTCATTGTTAGAGCATCACCTTACATAGTCTCAAAATAGATCCTAAACCCAAAATTGAGGGTTTTTCTTTTAAAGAAAAGATCAAATCGAATAGTCGACCTGGTTAGATGTCCAATGTTTGGAATTCCCAACTTTGGTTTTTTTTTTCCGTTCTCCACATATAGATTTGATAGACCTCCAGATACTCTACCTATCTTTCTCTATTTTTTATTTTTTTAGCGAAACACAATACAAATGAACTTGTGTTTCGCTAAAAAAAATAAAAAAAATACAAAAAGATAGGTAGAGTATAGATAGATACTACCAGGGTTTCCAAACTGTTTTTTTGGGTGGTTACCGCCACCCTACGGTTTGGCGGTTGCCGCGAGATATACCATAGTTTTAAAAACTGAAAAGATAACCGTACACGATAACAGTGGTAACCATACGGTTACCGCATGTTTTTTTAAACCATGAATACTGTTGAATGGTTATCCTACTTCTATAAATTTCACACAATCGCTAGAATACGAGGTAACAGTTCTATAACAAAACTTAGGGTTCATCTATTATAAAAGAATTAAAGTCTTACATATTTTTTCAACATCAATTTTTTTTACCTTCGAGCAAATTTATCCATATCAGATTATTTGTGAACGAAAGAAAATAACATGTAGAAGACCCTATTCGAACGAACCTGATGAAGAAGAATATTACTTCCTCCTTTTCACAATGTAAGTCATTCTAGCATTTTCCATATTCATATCTAGATTCATTAACATCGATATGAATGTGAGAAATGCTAGAATGGTTTACATTGTGAAACAGAGGGAGTAAGTAAGAACACGTACACAAGAAAGTCATTATCATATGCTTATTTGAGTTTTAATCTTTACAAATTTGATGAAAGGAAGATTTATTTGATATTTTAAAGTAACTTTCATTTAGAAATTTTTTATACAAAACATATTAGCAGTTTGAAAAATAACAACAGAGGGCGAAAGAAATTTGAAATCCTGAACGACTCCTACTCGGCTACTCCGACCTCGCGGAAGTCGGTTTGACGCCACCGTTTCTACTCACCCAAGCCGCCACCGCACTTCGCACCCGAAGAAGAACAAACCGCCTCCAAAAATCTAGGGTTTCCACCCGCGCGCGACGCGATTCAGGTGGGCGCCGCTCCCTCTCCCGCTCGATCCCTCCTATTCCTCTTCCTCCTCCTCCTCCCGCGCGCACGATTGCACGAATCGCTCACGATTTCCGATCCGTTCGGCCGCGTCCTTGCAGGTGTAGCAGCAGCGGCAGAGGGTGATGGCGGCGGCGGCGCCGGCGGACGCGAAGGCGGAGGCGGCCAAGATGGACCTCCTCGAGGACGACGACGAGTTCGAGGAGTTTGAGATCGACCAAGGTATGCGCGGCCCGCGGCTCCCTCCTATGACCTATCCCTCCCCCAACCTATCGTCGAGTCGAATCGCCGTGGTACTGTTTGCGTTCTCTAGGGTGGGGGAAGCGACGCCGATTCGCCGCAGGTTGCGTTCGTGGCCGAGACCTTCGGTTTGGGCGAGTTGGTTTGGTTGGTCAGGAGACCGTGCGGCCTGCTATCTCGTGCGATCTGGTGGATTCTATTACTTTTTTTGGGGAAAATCTGTGCTCTTTTAGTTTCGCATAATGCAATGTATGTTCTAAGTTGGTTTGCTTTTGGTATTGTTGTTTTCCTTATCGAGTTAATTCATGCTCGCTTGCTTGCGACAATTGTGACCTGTGCCTTGTGTGCTTTCGTATCTGTACCGGTTTCTTCCTCTCACTGGCATATAGTGTAAAGATTCACATATTAGAATGTAGAAATTTAGAATGATAAACCCCTAAGATTTTTAAGTGTAGGGGCATATGACCGAAAATGTTTCCATTGGTGCTGCCTGTTGAGGTGAATCATAACAATTGTGAGCAGTTGATGAAATTTTGTGTTCTTTTGCAAGTCCATTGAACAATAATTTGTAGTTTAGTTTTTAGACCAAAATTTTGTCTTTAAACCTTTTCATGATAGGCATCCCAATTTATTTTTGTAATTATCCTAGTCCATACCTGCTCCCTTCCTCCTCTAGGAACACATGATATCTTCTCTCTCTCTTCGAGGCAACTAGTCCATGAATTGTGATGGAGGCCATTACATTACCAAGGTTGGTTCCAGTCCTGTTGCCACCTGCAAATGGGGGTGGCAGTGTTGGAGCCAGCTATTGCACCCCTACCACTACCAGTACGCTTGGGCACTAGCCTGCAAAGAAGCTGTTCTGAAAGCACGCTCTATGTTGTCCTAGCCTCTTAGGGTCTATAGTGATTTAACGGATAGAAGATTTTATCGCTTTTTGTCCATGGTTTATCGAGTAGAGAAAAGGAGATATGTACTCAACATATGAATGAGATAAGGACTTCTAGCTTGTGCTACTATTAATGGTTTTATTTTTAAGCGAAATGGAAATGTACAGACTACCTTCCCCTTACTGGGAACTGCTCTTCTTGTTACCTTATTATCATGGCTTTTCTTCCATTAAAACCCTTCTTGTGATTTGTGCTTATGGGCCTGTTTAGATCCATTTGGAATGGCAAATGGCAAAAGATTTGGCATGGAGTTGGTGTTTAGATGCATCCTAGAGTTTTGCCATTTTAGCACTAGAGAGAGAGAGCGTGGTCCCGGAGCACTTCTTGGCAAAATTTGCTACCTTGGGCTAGCAAATGACAAATGCCAAATTGCCAACTTTTGCTACTAGTGTTTGGATCCAAAATGGCAAAACTAAACAGGCCCTATGTATGATTTAGTGGCTACCAAACAACGTAGAGGTTTCCACTTCTTTTGTCATTTATGTGTTGGATTTTTTATGCACATTGTACTATATGTGGTGTGTTTTCTTCTATTTAAAATGAGCAGATAACCTAATATTTTGTGACATCACGGGGTTATATGATTTGGCACAAACTTATTGTTTGGTGCTTCTTCCATGTATTGAGCTATAACATCTCATATTGGGCAACTGTCTGTATGGTTCACAGGGAAAAAAAAACTTCTATAGTTTTAGGATGTTTCTATTGGCTTCCTCTCTATATGGTGGTAATAGCTACTTTCTTGAAGTTGAGTTTAGCATTTTGATTTATTCTTTACAGTGCCTTATGGTCAGCAAGTTGTGCTTCACACTTTGATTTTTGGCATGCGGCTGTCACTTCTGTGTTGCAATCTGTTTCCCCCATTTTGTACATTCTTCTGCAAGCAATATGCGATCCTAGGGTGAAGTTGTGGATCTGGTGCTACAATGTTATTATGTAAGGCTTGCACTTACCCATTCTTCCTGCTTTCTTATATTTTGTAGAATGGGATGACAAGGAGGATGGTGATGAGGCCATCCAGCAATGGGAGGATGATTGGGATGATGACGACGTCAATGACGACTTCTCGCTTCAGCTGAGGAAGGAGCTGGAGGAATGCAACACCCAGAAGATCTGAACTACTTTTTTTTCCCAGTTATGTTTAGCTGTAGCACCTATGCTGGGTCAGGCACTTTTGTACCCTTTGTGCCCCATTGCTTTCTCAACCTGCAATGTTCCTACTATACTCCTACTTGTGTGCTGAAACCTGCGATCAAATTTAATTTGTGAAAGGGTTAAAACCAAGTTGGTGGAAAAAATATGGTTCTCTATTGTTGGTAACTTCGAGTTCGAAAATCGGGGCTAATAAGCGTTGTCCCTGTTGGTCAAATCCAGGTCGTCTGATGCAAGATGGGATTTTTTTTTTTTGGCCTGTTGTGTTGAGACTGTTTGAGTCGAGAAGATGTTTCTTGGTGCAACAGTTATTACCGGCAACTCTAAGAGCTCGTCTACCTGGCATATGTTTGGTTTTGGTTTAGGGATGAAGAGCTCGTTTACCTGGCATATGTTTTGGTTTTGGTTTAGGGATGAAGAGCTCGTTTACCTGGCATATGTTTGGTTTAGGGATGAAGTTATATTTTTTGGGATGATCCCATATAGATGTTTGCTGCTGGCATATGTTTGGTTTTGGTTTAGGGATGAAGAGCACGTTTACCTGGCATATGTTTGGTTTAGGGATGAAGTTATATTTTTTGGGATGATCCCATATAGGTATTTGCTGGGCGATGTCTAAGGGGGTATTTGTCCACATTCGCTGATGTCTAAGGGGGTATTTGTCCACATTCGCTGCAAAATTGAGTGGGCCCTTATTTGTTACAAGAGTGGGCCTTCAAAATTGAGTGGGCCCTCATTTGTTACAAGAGTGGGCCTTCATTTGTTACACTCTAGATCTGTACCAGATTATATATGACCCTGCTGGGACCTGCGTAAGTTTATCGATTAAGACAGTGCGCTCTGGGGCACAATGCACATGTGATCAGAGGTGATATTTTTTTTGATTCACGGTATCATGCAATTTCTGATTTTTATTCCACGCAAGTTGATATGAATAGGGAGGACACGAGCTATACTACAAGTATACAAACAGTACTAAAGAACAATGGAAAAAAAAACCAATCCAAGCTTGAGAGTAAACAAACACGCAATCATATCCGACATTAATAATGTATATCCGACATTAATAATGCGCGGCATTCCACACTAGCTAGATTAATCAAATTAAGAACAATCATGTATCGATGAACTCAGAGGCTATCTGGTCGATGTCACGCTCGGCGTACCACTACGGACTAACACATGTCGGCTAGCTAGTCGTGCCCGGCTATCTGTCTTGCTCGCCGCCGGCGCCGGCGAGCATCCCATGGTGCACCCTGTCGATGAACTTGGAGGCCCTCCGATCGATGTCACGCTCAGCGTACCATTACCGCCCGTAGTAGTTGTTGTCGTCGTAGTGCGCCGGCGAGCATCCTTCGGTGTACCTGTTGATGAACTCGGAGGCCTTCCGGTCGATGTCACGCTCGGCGTACCACTACGGACTAACACATGCCGGCCAGCTAGAGTGGGCCCTCATTTGTTACAAGAGTGGGCCTTCATTTGTTACACTCTAGATCTGTCCCAGATTATATATGACTCTGCTGGGACCTGCGTAAGTTTATCGATTAAGACAGTGCGCTCTGGGGCACAATGCACATGTGATCAGAGGTGATATTTTTTTTGATTCACGGTATCATGCAATTTCTGATTTTTATTCAACGCAAGTTGATATGAATAGGGAGGACACGAGCTATAGTACAAGTATACAAACAGTACTAAAGAACAATGGAAAAAAACCAATCCAAGCTTGAGAGTAAACAAACACGCAATCATATCCGACATTAATAATGTATATCCGACATTAATAATGCGCGCCATTCCACACTAGCTAGATTAATCAAATTAAGAACAATCATGTATCGATGAACTCAGAGGCTATCTGGTCGATGTCACGCTCGGCGTACCACTACGGACTAACACATGTCGGCTAGCTAGCCGTGCCCGGCTATCTGTCTTGCTCGCCGCCGGCGCCGGCGAGCATCCCGTGGTGCACCCTGTCGATGAACTTGGAGGCCCTCCGATCGATGTCACGCTCAGCGTACCATTACCGCCCGTAGTAGTTGTTGTCGTCGTAGTGCGCCGGCGAGCATCCTTCGGTGTACCTGTTGATGAACTCGGAGGCCTTCCGGTCGATGTCACGCTCGGCGTACCACTACGGACTAACACATGCCGGCCAGCTAGCCGCGGCCGGCTATCCGTCTTGCTCACCGCCGGTGTCGGCGAGCATCCCGCGGTGCACCCTGTCGATGAACTCAGAGGCCCTCCGGTTGATGTCACGCTCGGCGTACCACTACCGTCCGTAGTAGTTGTCGTCATCGTAGTCGCTCGGCCGCACTTTCGTCGTCGTCCTCCCCCGTTCCTGCTGCTGGTGGCCGTAGTACCTCTGCTGCTCCCTCTCCGCCACCGCCGCCAGCTAGCCGTGGCCGGCTATCCGTCTTGCTCACCGCTGGCGTCGGTGAGCATCCCGCGGTGCACCCTGTCGATGAACTCGGAGGCCCGGTCGATGTCACGCTTGGCGTACCACTACAGCCCCGTAGTAGTTGGCGTCATCGTAGTCGCTTGACCGTACCTTCGTCGTCGTTCTCCCTCTTCCTGCTGCTGGTGGTCGTAGTACTTCCTGTTGTTGGTGGCCGTAGTACCTCTACTGCTACCTCTCCGCTGTCGTTGCTTCTGAACAAAGGTATTTTGAAAGCAAACACTGACTTCTCTCTCCCCATCACAGGCACAACTAGCTCACAAACAAGATTTGTTTGGTTGGTTGTGAGGGGACATGGCCTATAGCCTAGCCAACCACATGCACGCGCGGGCATTTGTCCACATTCGTTGCCATTGCTCTTAAACCCAAAGGTCTTTGGAAGCAAACACCGAACTTCCCTCTCCCCCATCACCTCTGCTGCTCCCTCTTCGCCGCCGCCGCCTCATCCTTCCTTACACCATTGCTGCTACCGTTGCTCTTGAACCAAAGGTTTTTGGAAGCAAACACCGACTTCCCTCTCCCCATCACAGGTATAGCTAGCTCAATCTTGATCAGAAACCAGATTTGTTTGGTTGGTTGCGAGGCGACACAGCGAGGCCATACGTATTTATAGCCTAGCTGACCACACGCACGCACGGGCATTTGTCCACATTCGCTGCCATTGCTCTTGAACCCAAAGTAAGCAAACACCGACTTCCCTCTCTATTATAGGCACATTCCATAAGCACATTCGCTGCCGTTGCTCTTGAACCCAAAGGAAGCACTCCATCATAGGCACATTCCATAAGCACATTCGCTGCCGTTGCTCTTTTAACCCAAAGGAAGCAAAACTGACTTCCCTCTCCCTATCACAGGCGCTCATCACAGGCACATTCGCTGCCATTGCTCTTAAACCCAAAGGAAGCAAATGCTGACTTTCCTCTCCCCATCATAGGCCTCTTAAACCCAAAGGAAGCAAAACTGATTTCCCTCTCCCTATCACAGGCGCTCATCACAGGCACATTCGACTCTTGAACCCAAAGGAAGCAAACACTAACTTCCCTCTCCCCATCGCAGACACAGTTGTTTGGTGGGTTGCGAGGACTCAATCTTGGTTGCGAGGGAACTCAATCTTTGATGTTTGGTTGGTTGCGAGGGAACATGGTGAGCATCACAGACACAGTTAGCTCAATCTTGATAAAAAACAAGATTTGTTTGGTTGGTTGCGAGGGAACACGGTGAGGCCATGGCGTATTTATAGCCTAGCTGACCACATGCACGCGCGGGCATTTGTCCACATTCGCTGCAAAATTAAATAGGGCCCAGGCCCCTACTGGTGATCTCTATAATCACTACTACCCTTTTACGAACTAGAGCGTAGTGATTCGTATAATCACTACTATGCGAAGAAGTGCCAAAAACATCCCTTCAAAAAAAAAAAGAAAAAAAAAGACACATTCGCTGCAAAGTTAAGTGGGGGCTAGGCCCCCTACTGGTTATCTCTATATAGTTTTCTAAGGTGCTTGGGAGGCATGGCGGCCGTTAAGTGGGGGCCTAGGCCCCCCTACTGGTTATGTCTAGAGATTTCTAAGGTGCTTGGGAGGCATGACAGCCGTTGATTACTTTCAATATGACGATAGATAAGAGAATCTATCGTCAAAACCAACATGGAGGTATTTAAAAATGTGGGCCAGGTATTAACTTGAACATAAAAATGAAAGGTTAGATAGTAATTTGTAGTAGTACCACAATCAATGGCGCATGCTAATAATAAAAATCTATGTTTCTCCTAATTGAATCTGCTCCATAATCTCATCAAGCAGTAGACTAAGCAATGCTGCCATCACAGCCATGGTCCGCGCAAATCAACTGTCGATGCTCTAGTACGTAGTTACTTATAGATGACAAAGCACGCAGGTGAAGAAATACGACATGAGAAAGACGATGCGAGGAAGCTAACCTGGCAACGTTTGATGGGCAGAAGTAACTTGCTATCACGATGGTTGATCATGAGTTATAATGTTCAGTAAAGATATCAATAAAATTTGGTTGTGCACCGGTGGCTCCACGTACCTAAGCCATGGTTGATCATGAGTTATAACGTTCAGTAAAAATATAAATAAAATGATATCAATAAAATTTGGTTGTACACCGGTGGCTCCACGTACCTAAGCCATGATTATGGAGGAGAATAATGTGGTCCTCTCAGTTAGTAATTCAATTTTAGATGAGAATCAGTTGTGGAGGAGAATAATGTGGTCCGATTAGATGAGAATCAGTTGGGGAACCTAAGCCATGATTATGGAGGAGAATAATGTGGTCCTCTCAGTTAGTAATATAATTTTAGATGAGAATCAGTTGGGGAAGAAGATATTAGTTTGATGAGAATCAGTTGATATTAGTTTGCTAAGTGATGAGAATCAGTTGATATTAGATAGTAATTTATATATATATATATATATATATATATATATATATATATATATATATATATATATGTCGCAGAATTCACAAAGTTAGCGACAACCATAGTTATTAGGACCGCCGGTCCTACCGGAAAAAATCGGAACCAGGGGCTCAGCCGGTCCGGTCCAGTTTAAAGGTCCGACCGGAAAAAAACCGGAACTAGGGGCTCAGCCGGTCTGGTCCAGTTTAAAGATCGGCCATGCAATCAACCTGGGAAAAACCGATTGAACCGCTAGTCCGGTCTAGTTTAAAGATCAGCCATGCAATCAACCCGGGAAAAACCGATTGAACCGCCGGTTTTTAGCCAGAACCGGTGAAAAACCGAGCAGATAAACCGCTAAAGACCGGCCACACGTGGGTGAGAAAGTGCCAGTGCAGGCTGAAACCATGGGGGAGCGTGGGGGGATGGAAGAAAATAGGAGAAAAATATGGGCAGAGGGGTTCGAAACCTCCCCTTTAGACTCAAGAAACCCCACCACTGAGCTATGCATGCTTGTGTGATTGGACTATATATCTCAGTTTATTTAAACCGTCTTGGGCCGGCGGTTGAACCAATCAAACCGTGAACCGAGGTTTCGACCGGTTCGATGTCCGGTCCGGTCCTAATAACTACGGCGACAACTAGCGACAGATGGCTATGTAAAGATTATGTGGAGAGAAAAAAAACAGTTAGGAGAGAAGTTTCTCCAGTTGATAATTGATAAAAAAATTTAACAATTACTAAACTACCATGTAATGTTAATTTCTATCTCTATAAACTACCCTTTAACAGATCAATGGTGGATGTTTAATAGCAGGGGAGGTACTTAGGATACCTCCAAGCACTGTAAAAGCTCTCATCTCTATAATCACTAAGAGTTACGAAAAAAAATCCCTTTCAGAAAAAGAAAAAAAAAAGAGAAGAAGAAGAGATACGAAAAAGAAAATAAAAATCTTGTGCAGTTCGAGATATTAGCGTCGTGTCGCCGTCTCACCGCGCCTCGTAACTCGCCGCCGCCCTCACCGCGCGGCTGCTCTCCGACCGATCCACCGGAGCCATGAGCTGCGCGGCGGTCTGGGTCCCTTCCCCCTGCTCGCCCTCCCCCGTGCCGCCGCGGCACCGGCGGGGGCGATGGCGGCGGGGGAGCGCCTCCTCCTCGTCGTCCTCCGCCTTCCGGGCCTGCGCGGGCGGGGACGCGTCCGGCGACGGCGGCGGCGGAGGGCGGCCGGCGCGGATGGTGCTGCACGACTCGCTCGAGGGGGCGGGGGTGTCGACCGAGCACGCGAGGGCGGCGAGGGAGGGGTTCGCGAAGCAGGTCGGGAGGCTGACGCGGCTGGACGCCGAGACCAGCATCGCCATCAGCCGCGGCGCGGACCTCGCCCGCGCCGCGCTCTGCGTCGCCGCCGAGGACGACTCGCTCGTCTCCCACTCCTCCGTGCCGCTCCCCGTCGAGGCCTTCGTCTCCCGCCTCGACGACCTCTCCACCGGCTTCCTCGCCGACGGCTACCTCCCGCCCGCCGGCGCGCCGCCCCAGGTCTTCCTCGACCACCTCGACCGCTACCTCTACGTCCACAAGGTACAAATCATTTCGCACAAGCACATATTCTTCTTGAGGTCTTTTAGTGTGCTTGAGAGGTACCATGGGTACCTCCCTTTCTAGTAAATACGCACCGTTGATTCAATGATAATATTTTGTAAATAAAATTATAAAAACATGGGTAGTTTAGTAATAGCTCTTAGCCATAACTGTCCATCTACTTTTCAGGCATCCGTTGCTCACCTAAATTAAATTAACCTGCATCTCCGGCTCATGGATGAAATTGATCGTTAATTTGTTCCCATTTCGAGTGAGCATAAGGCATGACAAATTGATATGAGAATATTTTCTTTATCTGGGAACAATACTAGAATCTGATCGTATAGATTGAAGGGAAATACACAATTATTGATTAATTACTTAGTTTATCATTAATTATGCATGATCAGTGTATTAAATACGTTGTTCTTTTCTTTACAATAATAAAATACGCATCAACCAACTTGTGTTTCCTATAAAACAACAATTTAGTATTGTTTGACTATACTAGATAATCAACTGGTATTTATCGCCCGTTACACAATCTACATGTGTTCACCTTTTTTTTTTTTCTTGTGAAAGTTTTAAGCATTCACACGTTTAAGTGCACTTTTCCCCCACAATCAACGGACGTGAAATTTTGGAATGTAGTGGCACAACATAGTATAGCATACTATCAAAAGAAAAAAATACATACACCGTGATTTGCCTTCTCTCAGTTATCTAATTTAATTTGATAAGAGGCACACAATTACCTATTTAACCTTCCACCTAATCTACAAATTAAGTACCTGTCCCACTTTTTTGCTACCTTTCCTAACGTACCTTTGTTTGTATACCGTTAGATTTTAATTGATCAATGGACTAGATAACTTCCAAGCACCGGAGAATCTCTCATTCTTCTTTCAATCGTTTGACTTCAGGCTCACTCTGTTAGTTCGATTCCTTGATATAAAATCCTGAAGAATTTCTTGCTGTACCCTCTAATCGTACAGTGAATTGATGTGCTAAATACGTTATTATGTGACTTTCGATTCAGGGGTTTCGGAGAAAAAATGGATCGTCAGATGGGCGGGCAATATATCTTCACTCGGTAAAGCCTTACTGTACCTTGTCCGTGTTGTATGTGTATTCTCTTCTGACTTACTTGTATGTGATTCATCTAAATTTGTGTTGATTTGTACGGTGGCCAGGTTCTGACGTGCCGGTTGGGATCAGCTCTAATGCTCTCGTTGATATACTCCGAGATACTGAAGATGCTACGATTGTATGGCTTACTGGAATTCAATGTGGAGATTTTCTTTCCACATGATCTCAACAGTCTGCCTAGGGGTTATGACAAACACAAAAGCAAGTTGGGCGATGAACCGCATATTATGACATCAAAGTCACTTTTGGTTGAGGTGTGTATTTTTTCTATCCTCAGTACCCATGTTCCATTTTTAACTGTAAATATGTTTTTTGTCTGCTACATGCTATTTGTATATCTGGTAGCATTTACCACCAATTACCAATTCATAGGAGCACGCCAGCCATAGTGGCAATCTCAACAACTTTCCTACAGCAGGGAATTTTCATGTTGTTCTAGCTTGCTTCAGGGGAACCATTTCCTCAAGTACCTTTACCAGCAAAAAGATTGTTTGCATTTATGCATCAGATTACTGAACAAGACTTGAATTGGATTCCTGCTTGAAAATTTCCATATGCAATTTCCTGTCAATTATTTTTGAACGAATTTCCTACTAATTTCCATAAGTACAGACATGAATTTATGGTCATTTGTTTATACATACAAGTACAACACTTATGAACAGGCCTAAAACCTTTTATAATTGTTCTTTGGTTGTCTGTATAAGTCCTTTCAGAAATAAAGAAGGGAGTTTTGTAGTTTATAGCTTTTCAGGTGGTTGCCATAAGTACTTCCATGGGTTTGTGCATGCTTTGTACACGGTACACTTGTCAATTACTTCTTGTCCTCCGGGAATTTGTTTCTCCCTGCCATGCTTGAGACCTTACAGTTCAGTGTACACCTTCTTGGTCATCAAGTAGTCCTAAGTACCGGAGCATAACGATTTTGGAAGTGCCACCTGATCCAAGCATAATTCAACATCTCTGCAAGTCAACTTGTAATTTTATCTGGAACTAAACCAAAATATCTTGGATTTGGAGTTGTATAGGTAGATATATACTGTTGAAGGTTTCATCTGCACTTTAGAATGTAGCATTAATAGTTTCCTTCTTTTTGTCAGACATGTCGCTCCTGCTCTTTATATTAGTTAATGTTTTTGGTCTGTGTTCTGTTGAAGGTGGTGCTATGAGACTTCGACCGTTAATTTTTTCTGATGAGAAAACATTTTTCGCTTACTTTGACTTATCCTTTTCAGATTTTGAAAACTCTGAAGAATACATTTTGGCCTTTCCAGTCCAACCAGTCTGGTAGCTTATTTTTAAATGCTGTTTCTGCAAACCAACATGGCCCTGGTAATGTAGGTGATAATCAAACAACGCCACATGGCAATATAAGGTTTGTTCTAAACATGACTTGCATAGCAAAGTATTTTTTGTTGTTGTCATATATTATCTGGAGTGCATGATAACAGTGACATGCAACCATTGACAGTACCATAGAGATGGCTGCTGCAAAAGCTGCTCAACATAGGTTGATGCGTGGAGTATGGACTAATGTCCGGTTTGGTGATATGCGGCGTGCTTTAGCAGGTAGAACACCTTTTTTCTGTTTTAATAGTGAACAGTTGGTTATTTTACATATGATGCACTACCATAGCATCTCCTAAATGAGAAGTTTAATGTTTCAACCATAATCTGGGAGTTGTATATAACACACTGCAAGTCATTCGCGATTTTGGTTACAAGTCACCTATCTATTTTTTGGCACCTCATCCACTTCCTAAATGTGTGATCCTTCTCCTTTAAGGCCGTAATAATTTGGGTACCATATAATTGGTCATTGTTTTGCCTAACGTTGTTTTGCACTAACTCTGTGTTCCTGCAATTCCTGCAAAATACTTGCTTGGCATTTCAGCAGTTCCTAACCAGAGATTCGTACCTTTCATCTTCATGGCAGCATGTGAACGACTTATCCTACTGAACCACGATCCCCGTGAACTGAGGGATTATGCCGCCCTTCTCTACCACTGTGGGTACTATGAAGACTGCCTGCAATACTTGGCATCATACCAAACCGCAGTGGTATAATACATCTTCAAATGCGGTACGTTCGATCGATCATTGTTGAAATCACAGCACCTCTAAATGTCGCTCTATTTGTTTCACTCCAAGGCTGGGCAGCATTGGAACAATCCGCTGGAGATCATGGAGGACGAAGCGGTGAACACCCTGAGAGCGCGGGTAAGCTTGATTTTAGCAGAGGATGGCTGGAGCAGCCGCAGATCACCTGCCACGAGTTACTGGACGAAGAACTCCGAGCCGTGGTAGAATTAGATAGGACGATGCGTTACATGTGTATACGGTTTTACTGAAACAACACGAGCTTGTACATATAATTTCGATGGCATTTTCGCAATCATTTGTACTGGATGAAGTGAGCTCATGAATCATGATGATGCTACCATCTCTTCCCTCTAATGGTTATAATGCTTTCTAAATTCGCTCCGCAATTGTAAATGAATTACAGAAGGTGGTAATAATCAAACTGGAGTACCAACTATGATCAACAGATGCAAACTGGCTGCCGCATTTCGTGCACCAGGCCCACCGACGTGTTTCCACGAGCCCGTACCTGGTTGCAATCCATGAAAATTTATGCAAACAGGAGGATTTAGGTTGAATCACACGAATGGAAAAACATGGACGAAAAAAATAGAGAAATAGAAAAAAGATATGATTCTAATAGAAATGTAAATGTAAAATAGATGATTGCAAAATACAAATGTTATTTTATAGAAATAACCGTTTAATTGAATAACAGGAAAAACACAGAAATCGAATAAAAGAGATGGACTCAAAAGAAATTTTTCAAGAGATTGAAGCTCTAGCTAAGTTTCCTCTAAAATATACAGATAACGAGCCATTCGATATGAATTTATATGATTTGAAAAACTTCAATCTTTATATCAAATGACCAAAAAAGAAAATTTCTTATAGGATTTAAATCCTACGAAACTCAGGGCCCTAGCATGGATTGCAGCATTCAGATTTTGCCTGAAAACTGTAAAAGTTCCTGAGTACTTTTTTTTTACGCGTGTCCGCGTGTGTGCCTGGAGATGAACCGCTCCTAGTATTACGGGCTTGCATTTCATGGGCCATCCAACGTAACGGCAGTCAAAGTGTCAAAACCACGTCGTCACCCCACTTCCTCCAATCAAACTCCGCCACGTGGCCACGTCTCCCCGACTTTCCCCACCCTCCCCCAACCCCCGAAGCGCGCCCCCGCGGTCAAACAAATTTAATTAACCGCGGCAAACAAATTATTACTACTACTAATTACCCCACGACCCGCATCTTATATATATAAACCCCACCCCCTCACCCGCACACACACACACACATCGCTCTGCAGTTTCAACCTCACCTCACCACCCAAGCGTCGCTCGATCGATCGTGCCATCCATGGCGCCGCCGATGATGGCGACGGCAGCAAGGCCTCGCGACGACCAGCCGCGGCGGCGGCAGGCTCTGCTCCTCGCCGCCTCCGCCCTCCTCTTCCTCCTCTGCGGCGGCGGCGCTCCTGGCGCTGGCGGCGTCGTCGTGGCGGTCGCGGCGACGGCGTCGGCGACGGCGACGCCGGGGCTGGTGTTCCACGTCGGCGGGCCGCGCGGGTGGCGCGTCCCGGACGCCAACACCAGCTACACCTGGTGGGCGATGAACAACCGCTTCCACGTCGGCGACTCGCTCTGTGAGTAGCTTTGCTTCCACTCGTCTCGCCATTGCCGCCGCCTGCGGACCTCGCCGCTGTCTGTTGCAGGATGTGGATGATGGATTCACGGCGAGTTCTTGGATCCGTGTGCTTGCAGACTTCAGGTACGGCGGCGGCGACTCGGTGCTCGTCGTCGACCGGGAGGCGTTCGACGGCTGCAACGCGACGGAGCCGGTGGCCAGGTTCGCCGGCGGCGCCACCACCGTGCCGCTCGGCCGCCCGGGCTTCTTCTGCTTCATCAGCGGCGCGCCGGGGCACTGCGACGGCGGCCAGAGGCTCATCGTGCGCGTCATGGTGCACCCGGCGCCTGGAGCCCCGGCCCCCGCGCCGTCGGCCGCGGCGGCGGCGACCTCGCATCCTGGCGCCTCTGCCTCCGGCCCCGGCGCGTCGTCCGGAGCCGCCGCGGTTGCCGCCGGCGGCGCCGGCGCCGCCGTCGCCGCGGCGGCGATGGGTGTTCTCGCCGGCCTCGTCCTGCTGCTTCAGTGATCAGTTCGCTTGCAAGTAGTTCATTGGCTAATCTTCATTTAGGCTGCTTGGTTTGATGTTTATCTGTCGTTAGTAACAACTTGATTAATTAGATTGTGTCCAGCATTTAAGTAGGTATTATTACTGCTTAATCATGCCGTGTAAGACAAATATAATTGTTTGCATTGTGTATTCCTTTCGCTGGTTGCCTCTTTGATCCTCTCCAAGGGAAGGGATACAGAGGATGCGTGTTTTAGCAGTATCTAATTCTAATGTTATTTGTTCAAGTTGGTTTGATACATTCGTCATAAATGGATCAATCTACGTGATTTGAACTCACCCGGAGCATGATTTGAATTTTGCAAAAAGTTTAGCCAATATGCATGGATTGTTCTAAAGTAACTGTGTTGGATCTAATCCACTGGACGGTTCAGATCCACATAAAGGCAGTTCATCTTCTTGACCTCTTCAGTCCCGATGGACTTCGTTGTCGCCCTAGCCAACTAAACTTCTTTTTGTGTGTGTGAAATAGAGATTTTCGATTTAACCTAAATCCAATAAAAATCTTTCAAAAAATAGAGATCAGGCCATTCGAATGTCCAATGTAAACGCGACCAACGTATGAACGTATGATCTACGAAGGAATGCTCCTATCAGTCCAGATGCACACAAGCATGTGTCTTGGAGTCATCGAGTTAAAATAGAATTCGGACACAAGTCACAAGCGGCAACCAAAAACAATAAGCAATATGTGTGGCTCATTCAGGCAATTTGCAAAGTTATTTTGCAAAACGAACGACTAAACCATTGTATTTTATTGACATTATATAGGCGATATTTAACTTTGGCATTCGCAAACATTGTTTGCATGCCAATAAGCTACAGTTCACTATTTACACAGCGGTATAGTTCGAACAAACAATTGGACAACAGATCAACATATGCTCAGTAACTCTATAGAGATGTCAGAGGTGCAATCACCATTTTACTGGCATAACTATACTTTAGGTGTTTATACTAGTAGCATTTCGATATAATTTCATCAAAAAAACTTTTGGGCTGCTATCTTGTTTTCTTTCTGTAAGTATACTGGGAAAACTATCGATTTCTATCATTTATGGTGTATTGCCCCTGAATAGAGAGGAATGGGGCAGCTATCAGAATGAGTAATCACTAATCAGCAACATTTGTCGTCATAGTCTATCTTCCATCATCCCACCCTGGAAGGTTTGCGGTAGCCTCGTTTACCATCTTTACAAGTGTAACCTGCATTAAGAAAATATATAGGTTATGGCTAAAAATAAAAGCATGAAACCTGAATTCTCAGAGACTTTTCGCAAACAGGATAATGGTACAATTTCACAAGCATGATATTAACCCTTGTTAGTGCAACACCATTTTAGCTATTCTTTTTTATAGGAACAACGCCAGCTACTGGGAGTAGCATTTGTAAATTCAAGAATATCAACTAAAAAATCTGAGCCAGAAACCCAACTTGACCATGGAATAAATCAAACAAATGTCAGCAGACAACTTAGAAAAATTAAAAAAATGCATGAAGCATCTATTTTCTGGATATTTTCTATCAGAATCCGCAGAACATCTTAAACAACTAAAAGATATGTACATTTTGCAGTTTTGCTGCGGAACATATATTGCATTCCTTTGGAACACTTCTCATCTTCGCCCAGTTTAATAAAGGTGAATTTCGGAAGCTGCACCAGTAGCACATTTTCTGTAGACCCTGGGACACATTCATTTGGCATACACAGTTTTTGCAGGGCCTTGTATTTAATTGTCAGTGCCAGACAGGATCTGGTACGAATGGGGTAAACTGGGGTTTTGAGGGTGCTGCTGAGAAGTTTTCTTAGTATATTGGATACTCATCTTTGCAGTGTTTGAATTGTATCATGAATTTATGTAGGAGTACTAAAGTTAGACATCGATTGACTCTAATGCATAGATAACTTCCCTACCATATTTTCCTACATCCTAGATTATGTATAACATTATTCAGGTAAGCCATATGGCCAGTCCAATAGTTATCATTATGCACTTCTCCTATTGTTCTGTTCACACAATTATTCAGGATTGGCATAAATAAAGTAATGCTAACAACAATTTGTTAGGTAAAAGGACAATTCCAAGCCACATGAACCCACCGTACATGAAAAAAACACATGGTTCATATGTGATATACTAATACTCCTTATGTAACAATTTACTAGCTGGGTACTGTTGTGCTTTAAAATTTGTGCAGTACTCAGATGTAAGCATATAAGCTAAGAAATCTAGCTAACAAGTAGTTAATGATCATGTTGGAAAGGAAGAGAGAAAATTGGGTGATGAACTTGACACGGGAATCACATAGTTTAGTATTTGCTGATGATGGCAATGTGCCAGCATTGTGTAAGCAACTTAATTATGTATTCAAACTTCCAGAGTGGATGCCACCATCAATGGACTCAAAGTGGCACTTGAAAGGAAAAAGATGGCAAACCACTCTGACTTCTAAGCCCAAGCAAAAGGACAATTTATGCCAAGACCATCATGCAATCAATCATATAAATCAAAATTATGCCAATTACAATATCTTACAAATAATTGGGTTAAGGAGGAAATTATACAGATAACAATTGAGTTATATAATAAAACAGTGCCAGTGAAGCATTGCTCTAGTGTATTAACATGGCATCTGAATTAATTTAAATGAGAAAAAATATTTTTCTGTCTAGCAAAAATAAAACGTTGTGTTTTGTACTAGCAAGACTATATTATACTAAAAAATACAAGACACTAATAACACCTTAACATCTTAAAGGTTACAATATTTCTTTTACGACATAATGAAAATTTTGTATTTTACAAATTAATTTGCTAGTAAACATACCACACTTTCTGGTACTCCTGGAGGGGGCAATGTAAGATTTCGTGGCGGTGGCCTGTCTTGGTATGCTCTCTTGTCAAATCTCCATTCACCAATTTTTCCATAGGTTAGTACACCCTGAAATCATTTGCCAGTGTAATGTCAATTACATTATGTTAGCAAAACAAAAACAATAGTGACTTCTTTACTTTATCGCCTCAGAAATTTTAGCTTCCGATGAATATTTATATCTGTAGAAAAACATCACAGATCTGGGATTTCAATACCTTGAGTGTATAGTCACATCCGTAAGTGAAGTGGATAATAAATGTATTCCCAAGTTTGGTATCAAAAGGTGGCTGCAAATTTTTACTGGACCATCAATAGCACTCTCATCATGAAACTCAACACAACTACTCTGAAGTCAGGCAAGTCTGTTGTCAAGCATTGACAAAAAAACATAAACAAGTAGAGCACCTGAATCATGAAATCTTTTCGAAGGATATGTTGAACCCCATGGAGTGCACTAGCAACAGCATATGCATACCTAGAAGTCAAGTAAAAACAAGAACCTGGAATCATAACAATGTAACAAGCAAGTAAATGCATTATGAAAATATACACAAGCGTAATTCTCACATTTCCAAGACCCATCCAAAAGCTTTATCTGTCTCCTGATCTTCTTTCATTTGAATCGATACATTCATCCATGTAGGGGCAATCTTCTCAAGTTGTATCTAAAAGTTTCCTCAGATGATAAGGGATAGAGTTAAAAATTGAAGCTCATCAATTCAAAACATTAATAACTAGCAACTGGCATGTAAGTAATGTAAAAATAAAATCCAAGGAAATACTCCTCATGCATGAGACTTCAAGGTATACCACGTCAATTCTGCAATATGTGTTACCTTCTTAATGATTACAGGGGAATTCCCAATAGGGTCGATATTTGTGACAGGGCCTCTTTCTTTAGGATAATATTTCCTGAGAACACTTTCATGTTCTGATGGTGTAATGTAAAAGAAAGGGAATGCTGCTGGATCATCGCGGGCTAAATTTGGTAAAGGTCTCACAAATATATGATCTGGTTCTGCCATCAATATGTATCTGCCATGTTTCAACAAAACAGAAAATTGAAAACACATCAGAACATCCACATTATTTTAGCACAAATAAATTACCAACGCCAACAATGTTCTTCATCTCAAAACCCAACACCAAGAAAATAATTAAGCTATTCACATGTTGTTAAATCATGCATGTTGGGATTCTAGATATGCGTCCAAGTGTCCATCAGAGTAAGGTTAAATGTCAAAACCACAAATAAAGTAACTCAACGAAATGGCAGATAAATTTTAACTCACTCTTCTTCAATCTTTGCTTTCTCCAGCCACTGTACAAATGCCCAGGGCCTATTTAGTACGACATAGCCCTGCAAACAATTCAAAACAAAAAAAAAAGTTTGGTCAGTTACCAAATTGACTGATCATGTATGTATACTCTGCAAAGTGATTTCGGCGCAAATAGTTGCGTACAAAAGTAAAACACGCCACAAATCCTCATAAAACACACACACACAAACACAACAAGCAAATTCAATGTACAACCGAACAGAGAATAGTACCCACATGGGAAGGCAAGAAAAGGAGGCATAAGTTCAGACAAGTGGGTCAGAAAACTGAAGAAAACCTTCAGTTATGATATTATTGTTCTGTGAAGTACCATTGAAAAGTAAGCCATGACTGTTCACTTCTCACGCAATCTTCTTGCCGAAATTCACAGACACTATCTATCCGGAAGCTGTTCTCAAATCATAATGTTGTAAAAAAGAACATTCGGTTTGTCATTAAGAGTTGCATAGAAGCGGTCATTTTCATCCAAAAAATGAAGGGGAAAAAAAAACTTAGTCCCGTCTAAAATTCACAAGCACATGTGTTCTTCTGAACACCTGCTGGACCACAATGCCACTGCCCCCACATTGCGCAACAGACAAAACTGATGAAACGAGAGAGAGAGAGAGAATTTGGTTTGATCGCTTGCGTACATGGTCCTTGCCGGCGGGGAGGGGGTCGACGACGAAGGTGGGGATCTCGCCCATGAGGGCGTCGGGCTTCCCGGAGTGGAGCACGCGGGTGAAGCCTCCCATGTCGGCGCCCTCCGGCCGCGCCTGCATCCGCTTGTACCAGTAGTACATCACCCGGCACTGCCACCGGCTGTACGCGGCGTCGGTCGCCGTGAGCGCCACGTGGAACGGCCGCCGCCGCCCCCCGCCCGCCGACCCAGCCGCCCGCATCCACCCCGGCATCGCCACCACCGGGTCCCTCTCCCTCCCCGCCCCGGTGGCCGCGCCGCCGCCACCCCGGAGCACGATGGCCAGGAGGTTGTAGGAGATCAGGAACGCCCCCACCGCTACCACCACCAGCACCGCCGCCGGCAGCCGCGCCGCGGCGGCGGCCTTCCGCGCCGCCGCGTTCATCTCTCTGGGAATTTTGGGGGTTTGGATTCGAGGGGCGGCGCGTCTCCTCCTCCCTTGCGAGGGAAGCGAATAATTAACAGGAGAAGAAAAATGGGTATTACGTGTAATAATACATTAATACTCCTCCTAATTAGTAATTAATACGCGTGGATTTTAACGAGTGAGACACGATGCACACACTTACAGGTTACAGCGCGGGCCTACCATGTGTGGGGCCGAGTTGTCAGTGGGATTTAGAAGCGGGGTCGTGAGGGGGTCGCCGGTGAGAATGTTGGGGGGATGGGAGTCAACGGGATTTTGTTTGTACCTAACCAGTGGCGTGTGGTAGCGTTTGACGCAGCTGCGTGCTGCCACCGTGCACCAGTTGACTTGGCCCACTGAGCAATGTCGAGTTTATTATTATTATTTTTTTTTTGGAGGGGGGAGGGTTGGTGGTGGGGGCTTCGATTTTTTTAGCTGCCGGATGTGTTTTAAGATTATTTTTTCAACAACCGGATGTGTTTTAAGATTAGTGGTAGGGAGGGACAAAATTTGTTAGATGCGTGAAACTCATAACAAGGGAACACAAGCGCTTAACGCTAATCCGTGCGCTAGTACGTGTTTTTAAGGTATTCATATAAGTTACTATATAGAAGTTACATTATACGACAAGCAAGATGGATAAAGGAGCCAACGAGCTTCTCGATCCAATCATATTTCCTGCTACGCCACCTAGCCTACATCGACATGCCACCTCTCTCCTACCTTCTTTTTCTTCCTCCTCCCTCCCTTTGCTCTCTTGCCACAAACGAGGGGAAGACAGGATCAATGACGAGCTTGACTAGGGGCCCATCCGTTTGACTGAGCTCGAGAGAAGTGGGGCAACAACAAGCTTGATTGGAGCCTGACCTCTTGGCTAAGGTCGGATAGGATTTTTGAGTGGCCGCAAGCAGATGAGGAACTGGACATGGATCAGAGCTTTGTGGACATGGACATGGTGCGGATCAGCCCTCCATGCCATCTAGATTTGTCGATGGCTGCTTGTGATCTAGGAGTCTTTCCTTCCAAATGCCACAAGCCAAGTTGCAATGCTTCAATGCTCTCCTCCACGAGGCCTTTGTCATCGTCTCCTACCCAAGCTTTGCTACCACAGCGAGCCGGCCCCGAGCTTCGCTATGACACTCCTATCCAATATTCGTCGGTGCCGCTCTCCACATCAAGCTCGAGGAGGTCAGCTTTCATTGGTAAGCTCAATCAATGGTGAATTGTGAAGTGACATTGATTGATTCTAAATATCGGCATGTGTGATAGCATTCCATTATGGGCAGGACTTTGTAATGGGCCATGGCCCCCCTCTAGTTTTCTCAAATGGATAAAAAAAGGTCCATTTGGCCTCCATCAACTATATGCTGAGTTTAATTTGTGTTCTTTAACCGCAAATCTGGCTATAGAAGAACCTCAACTATTTAAACCAGGTTCTTCACTTTAATAGGATCTACTAGTTTCTACATGCAAAGCCTTAGAGCAAGTACAATAGCAGGCTACAAGTTAGCTATAAGCATAAATGGAATAAATAAGAGATGAGAGAGAAAAAAACGGGCTATAGTTTTATAGCCAGCTGCAATATGGATTCCAAAATATATGAGAGGTGGGACCATATATTAATGGTGTATTATATATTTATAACTAATTATTATATCAATAAGCTATTTGATTGACTATAGACGATTTGAATCTATTAGTTGGCTGTTTAATAAACTTGCTCTTACGCGTTTGGGTTTTGGTTTAACAGCATGCATGTCAACACGTGTAGCAGTTCTTCTCACAAATTGCCTTTGGTTTAGCTTTCTCCAACAAAAAAAAATTTGGGCCGTATTGCCTTCACGTACGTGCGTACTCGTGCCCGACCGGAGCTAGACCTACAGTGGTTAGCTTGTGTGTCGTGGTTGAGTCCGACTCCTGTTGCTGCGTGCACTAAAAGCCACGACGGTAACAAACTAGAATCGAGCGCTGGGTGCTCCTGGAATAAAAACGAAGTTGGCGATCCCGTCTACACCGAATCGAATTGCTCGGGGAGTCGTACGTCCTCGTGCCACAGCTCTGAGCTCGCCGCCTAAAGCCTACCGGTGAGTTGAATTGCTCGATCGTTCCGGTGCAGAGGGTGATGAATCATCAGTCACGCCGCGGAGATACATCGTACGTGTTGCCCTCTAGCAACGCGCCCAGGCGGCTCGAGTTCCGCATCCTTAAGCGCGGCCTCCGCAACTAGTGGCGGACGCAGGATTTCGAGAATGGAGTAGAAGTTAAGAAAATAAATATCACTCAAAAATAATAATAAAGTCCTATGTAAATATAGTGTACATTAAATTATTAAAATTACAAAATACTTAATAAAATTAAAATTATACTCGATCGGAACTTTTTTTTTTGAAAAATGGGACATTATGTTTTTACAATGAATATGTAGAAAAAAAAGTTGTTTTCAAAGAATTTAACTAACTAATTATTCAAGTTTTTTTATGTAAGTTATATTTCTTATTTATTTTATATAGAATTAGTTGCAATATTCTGGGTACAAAATATAAAAGCCCATGGACAAATCATCACAATAACATTTAGATGGTTCAACATATTAAACTTTTTCAGAAAATTTAATTCTTTGAAGGCTCCATAGATAAAATATTCAGCAATTTTAAAGGTTCTATAACCTAAAGTCACATTTAGCCTATAAATTTCTTGTTGCCTTGTAGTTGTCATGGCCATTGGTTCGTGCCAGTGATTAAGTGCAGGATGGACTATGGAGGGTGAGGTATTAATTGGACTGAAGTACTAATTTAGGTGCAGATATATTCATTTTAACCCACTTTTGGTATATGTATGAAATATACCATATGTATATTGTTCTTTTTGCAAAAAAAATTTGGGGGTACAGCTGTACCCCATGTCCCTATACAGTGTCCGCCCCTGTCCGCAACCACACCGGCAGGGTGAGCCGCCACCTGACATGTAGGGGCGGAGCTAGAACAAAATAAAAGAGAATGTCAATGGCTTAATTTACTCTATTTTAGATCAAGTTTAAGCTGATGTGGGTGTCTCAGTTTGTATTGAGAGGGTGCACAAATGATGAAAATCGGTAAGGTATAACTAAAAATTTTTCTTGACTGGGTTCCTGGGCACCCCCTCCAATACTCTACCTCCGCCCCTGCTAACACGTAGCTGCTTCGGCGTGCGGTCAGTCGTCCACAACCGCTACGTCCAGAAGACGCGCTACTACCACTACTGCGAGCTAGTCATGTCAATTAGGCTGTGTTCGGCAGCCCTTTTTCTCAACCCCTCTTCCTTGTTTTCCACATGCACACATTTTGAATTGCTAAACGATGTATTTTTTGCAAAAAGTTTCTATACGAAAGTTGCTTAAAAAATCAAATTAATCCATTTTTTTAAAAAAATTAGCTAATACTTAATTAATCACACGCTAATGGACCACTCCGTTTTCCGTGCGGAGGGAATGAGTTCCCATCCGGTAGATGCTAACACAGCCTCACAGCTGGTTGAGGCAGACATGATGGGGATAGAACGGTGGCCGGGGAAACTGTTTTAAACACTCGAGTGGACGTTCACCCATCTTTTGCATGTCAATTAAATGATTATGTAAAAATTTCAAAAAAATTGACAAGATGTATTAATATGTAATATATCACTTCACAAATATACAATTCCAAATTCAACTTCTATAAGTTGTAACAAAAATAATAAATTTAATCGTGAATATTTTTTTAGATAATGGTTTTTCATTAATCCAGCCTCTATATCCACGAGGGATATACACAGCCAAAAGGATAGAAGAGTACTTAGACTCACACCTCAATAAAGAGGAGAAAACACAACCAAAAAAATGAAAAACCTACAACCTCGACACATCCCTACATCCTGACATCGTCCTCTCCTGAAACGGCCACAACCGACAAGAGGGAGTCGTCTAGTGCCACTGCCCCTAGTGTGTTATCGTTGCGAATCTCCACTAAGTGCCATCTTCATCAGCTTCAAGTGAAGTAATGCCACTCGCTGCCGGGTAGCCCACCTTCATCCATCATCATCTGGTCAGAACTAGATGACCAGACACTAGCTGAAAGCATTTGCTTATGCTTCGCCAGATTCCTAAGCCCCGCCGCCCATAGGGCCGCCGTCGACGTCGGAATCCTCCTCCGCTCTTGGACTACCAGCCCACCGCCATCTCTGCTGGAGTTAGAGGACTAGCCTCCGTCTCTGCCCAACTCCGTTGTCGCCCACCAAGTCCGTCGGTGACAAAGGAGGGGATAGAGGACTCGCTCCATCTCCACCCAGCAACGCTGACCACCAAGTCCGCAGCACCGTCGTGATAAAGGAAGGGATAGGGGGCTAGCCCCCATCATCGCAGCCCATCGAGTCATCCAGTGATGGAGGAAGGGACGGAGGACTAGCCCCTGTCTTCACCCAACGCCGCCGCTGCTAACCACGTCCGGCATTCGCTGATCGGAGCGCCCGGCTGATCGGCAACCTCCTCCGCTATCACGGTGTCACCACCCTCGGCCAACCGGCACCATAACCACCGTTGCACCATCCTGCCTTGCCGCCGCTACCACCTTCAACATCACCACCGCTATGCTGCTTACCGGAGCCAGGCGAGACCCACCATGCCGCCCATCTCTAGGAAGGGGACTGAGGAGGAAGCCTCGTCGCCAACCCAGCGGACCTGCACCCTCCGGTGACCTACTCCGGCGGTGGCAAGGTTGAAAAGCGGTGACGATGGTGAGGATTTACCAGATTGGCAACAAGCCAACTGCTTGGGACTGGATCTGAGAAGAAAAGGTGGAAAAGGGAGAAGAGAGAAAGGGAAAAGGTGAAAGGGGGAGGAGGAAACAGGGAGGAGGTGGGTGGGGACAGCGCCAGCACCACCGCCGATGGTGCCGATGGTGGCGAGGGGAGAAGCGCCGGGGTCAGGTCATCCTCCTCCCGGGTGGCCCCAGAGAGTGACACGGGAGTCAAGGAGGCGTGTCAATTTTTAGAGTTTAATTTATCTTGTCATTTTTTTTGAAATTTTTGCATAATCATTTAGTTGACATGCAA